TATTTTTATAAGCGTATAAAGGCATATTGAACACAGTTGTCATTTAAGCTGTTTGGTTGCTGTATCACTGACTGGCATTTACCCCTCATCTCCTTTTACTCATATAAGTAAAGATGACATCATAAAAAATTAGTTTTATCTCAACGATTATGTGCCTTGCATTGGCAATTTTTCTTAGATTTGCAAATGAAAACTGACATGTTACGATTGGCTTTGCTTCCATTAAATATATAACATATATGAGGAGATAATTGGTAATCTAGATCTAAACTGTCATAATCCAATCCAACGAAAGTACAAACTTAACCGGAAGTTGATTTGTGGTATTTAAAAAGTAGAATCTATCCGGTTTGGATATGCACATTTTCCGATAGATTTTGTTTCTTATTTTTTTTTACAAAAGAATTCATTATAGCTTATCATTCAGTGTGTGACTTTTTATATGAAAATTTATTCATTCATATTATACCTAGTAGTTAAAATTATCATTAGCTTGTTATCCTATCATGAATAATAATCAAATATTTTTTTTGTTTATGAATATTATATTTAACCTTGGACTATCATACTATTATGTTCCAGATTTAACTTTCAATGTATTTCAAAAAAAAGGAAAAAAAAATAAGATACCAAGGCTGTGACAATAAAAATCAATAAAAACAGACAACACAATGGTCAAAATAAAAATTGAAGAAAAGACAAACAAAAATAAACAAAAACAAACGTGTTTATTTATTTTTTTTTAATATCAAATCAGGAACATATATATTGATATACTGTTCCCAGATCAAATCAAATATTTTAATTTATTATGTAATTAGACTTCTATCATAAAGATAACAGGTTCACAAATATGTTTTTTGTTTATTTGTGCAAGCCTTGAATTACTTTTTTATTTGGCATTAACCAAATTATTTGGATTAAATAAATATATAACTGATTAATGCTGTTTGCATGAAAAACTGAATCCTACTCTACTTCTGATTGAGAAAAAAAATCACGATCATCAGTGGTCATATTTTCAGTGGTGGATGAAAGGTTTTCAAAAATTGGGACACTGAGATTTCCTGCCGGCAAGTTGTGTGTGTGTGTGTTTCTCTAAATCATAAATTCCTTCCGATTAAGTGTGCACGTGGCGTACCGTGAAAAAAAATGCATTAGGAATATACATAAGTCATTGGTTGAGGGGCTAGCTATTTTGAGGTCGAACTCATCTCCTCACGCACATAGTTCGGTCAAACGAGACATTTGTTGTTACTTTATTTCGTGTATAGTCGGCAAAGGTAATGATCTTTGATTACAAATGTCTCTTTAGTAAGATAACATGATAAGGATATAAACAACAGAACGAACTAACAAAGATCAGGTATGTTATCAGTGGAATATGGCACTCGAGTTTATTCTACAGATAAGCCAAAGCCGAAATTTTTAATTTTGCTGGATACCTCGGTCGACCATGTTTTGGGTGTAATTCAAAAGTATTTAGTATTTGCTCGTAGATGTTGGCACTGCAAGCACTTTTGGTGCGTAAGAAGTACATCATATTATAAAATATCAACATCTGTATTAGTTTCGTTTAAGGTAAGATAGAAATATATTAGCTGGCCAAAAGATCTTTTTTCGTTGTAATTATAGATATGATTCAGGACTAAACCATTCTTTTTGTGCTCATTAACATTATATTTTGGCGTAAAAAACCTACCCGTCTTAACTAAACAAGTTGTGAAATTTATACGAATAATTATGGGATGCACAGAATCTCTTGGGCAACCACTTTACTTGTATGTCTCTACTTTACATTTGTATTTATATTTTATGATACAGAAATAATATAATTTTGGAAACTATTTCAAAATAAGTATTACATCTTCCTCATGGCATGCAAAGCTCTGATACCTTGCCCGGCTTTGGTTATACTATTTTTTTGTTTTTTGTTTGATAAGTTCTTCATTTTTTTTAATAAGTTTGTAATTTTCAAATATTAAGGCCTTGAGCATCACTGAGGGGACATTTATTGTCGAAATGCACATCTGGTGCAGAAAAAATTGGTACCGCTAATGTTATATGTATATTAATTCATTTGTATATATCTATATACCATTGTACTTTGGTTTACGGCAATAAAGATATTTATGTTACAGTGAATTTGTAAAACGAAGGATTTTTTAAAATACCTGAAATTTCAGGGATTTTGTATAATCACTGAAATGATCAGTGATTTTATAAAATCTCTGATTTTGACTAGGGATTTTACAAAATCACTGAACAAATTAATATCTTTTTTACAGATTCCCTGATTAAATTCAGTGAATTTGTAAAAAAAAGATAACTCAATCTTTTTGAGCAAAAAATCTTTTTTAAAACAGTCGACAGCAGTTACACTCAACTAGTTTGAGGTTAATTTAGCCTTTTATATTAGTGAGCAGTATCAACAAACAACTGACATACTGCAGAAAATGGCTTAGGCACAGATGTGTTTAAATCAAGAGCAAACTTACACACAAACGTTACTTCAAATAATTTAGGGAAAATTAAAATGTATAACATATGGAACAGAGAAAAATATGAAGAAATTCTAAAACTTATTGCTAAAAAGCCATAGAAAGAAGACAACACAAGCTCTTATTATTACCATGTTCGAAAATGTCAGTATTCACCTCAAAAGCTAACAAAACCTTTAAACAGACTTATTAAGAAGGGATATAGTTACGATACTGTTGTCAGGTCATTAAAGATTGCATATTTTGGCTTTAATATTAATTCACTTATAGGGTCTTTGCATCGGAATTAAACACATTTATTCTAAAACCAGTTGTTGGCATGACACTGGTTATGTTCTTCTCATATATTTTATGACGGTATAATACTAAACCCCTAACAGGAGGGATTGTGCCTGATATTCATATGAGGAAGACATAATCTTTTAACCAGTTTAATTGAGGTCTGGAGCAGGCATGTCAGTAACTGCTAGTAGTCTGTTGTTATTTATGTATTATTGTCATTTTGTTAATTTATTTTCTTTTGTTTCCTATTCTAACATCGGACTCGGACTTCTCTTATACTGAGTTTTACTGTACGTACTGTTGTGCGTTTGTTTTTTCTACATTGGCTAGAGGTATAGGGGGGGGGGGGGTTGAGATCTCAAAAAACATGTTTAACCCCGCCGCATTTTTGCGCCTGTCCCAAGTCAGGAGCCTCTGGCCTTTGTTAGTCTTGTATCATTTTTAATTTTAGTTTCCTGTGTATAATTTGGAGTTGAGTATGACGCCCATTATCACTGAACTAGTATACATATTTGATTAGGGGCCAGTTGAGGGACGCCTTCGGGTGCGGGAGTTTCTCGCTGCATTGAAGACCCATTGGTGGCATTCGGCTGTTATCTGCTCTATGGTCGGGCTGTTGTCTCTTTGACACATTCCCCATTTCCATTCTCAATTTTAAGTTAATGATTTTTATGTAGTGCTTCTGTAATTACTGAAAATTATAAACCACTTATATCAAATTTTATCATCAAATATATATAAAGACAGTACATGGAGTGATTGCCGTTTTGAGAGGAAAAACACATATGGAAAGAATAAGAAATTGATTGGTTTAGGCTGTGTGTTCCAGTGGCAAATATTACATGATTATCAGGACGAGAGTATCTTATTGTGACATGAAAATTGATATAAAAAAGCAAATAAGTGTTGTATTATTAATTCGCAGCCTATAAAAGACATTTATATCCACAAAATAATAAAAGTAAAAAAAAGACAACAGAATATGGGATAGGTATAAGTAAAAATACTTTGATTGGTACTTGCTTTTCTTACTTTGCATGGTCATATCTCAGATACTGTATTCTATCACAAATTGATACAACTTTAAATAAGTTTCTATACTTTCTCCTCTCTTTAAATCCAAATCAAATTAAAAGTAAATAATTGTTTAATGTAGGGATGAAGTTCTTCAATGTGGAGATGTAAAACAAATCGTTAAAAAAAACAGTATTCACCAGGGCAATTGTGTAACAGTTGATGTCACCTAAACTTATCATGCAAAAGCAAGCAAATTGTAGTCTTAATATCAGTTCATATGCCTATTATTCATAATCACTGTACAATAGTTTTAACTAGTATTATTTATTAAAAAGATGTATTGCAAAGTCATTGGTTTATTTGTATTAAGAAAAAAACATTTCTAATATCTAGTTTAAACTTGTAGTAAGGGATTTTGTAAAATCCCTAGCAATATTTTCAGGGATTTTACAAAATCACTGAAACTATAACTGATTTTATAAAATCACTAATTATTTTACAAAATCCCTGATTTTACAAATTCACTGTAACATATACATGTAACGTTATTGGTAAACATAGGCAGTTAATCAAAATAAATATGGGTATAATGGGTTCGCATTACATCTGTGCCTTTGCTCGTATTCGTTGTATAGGTAACACAATTCTTGATAAAAATGAAGAAAAAAATCAACTTCAACTCTGAAAAACAAACAAAATCGATCATTGTTTTCGATACTGTTCAAGTCTTATCATTTAGGGAAATATGTAGAAAGTACTATACATATTTATAATACAATCGCACACAAGATTGTATATATTACATTTGCGCTTATTCATTTTACAGGTAACAACTAAAGGAACAACACTAGTATTGCTGCTCTTCATCTCAAAATCACTGTGAGACCAATCTCAATAATAAATTAAAAGAATAACAGGAATTACCAACAAATCTTTGACAGTACGAGAAAAAAGACGTAAATATACAAAATGAAGCAAAGACAACAAAAAGCAAGCAACACATGGTCAAGATAGATTCAAGTCCATCTGTTATCAACGTTGGGGTTTTACTGTCAAAACATAGAATTAAATGCTACATTTGAAAGACCAGAAACCTTTGTATAATCTTCACCAACACGTAAAATAAGTCGTGTAAATTCTGTTTTTTTTTTAAACAGAATTATTTATTTATTTATCTATTCATTTATTTATTCCAGTCATCGTCGCACTGTCACTATCTGGAAGCGAATAAAGTCTTCATTGAGAAGTATATATATATATATATATAATGTCTAGTCATCGACTAATGTACATGCTGCAGTCACTATTTTAATCGTCGTATATCCAACTTTAACTACAATTGAATAGATTTCATATTTGTATGAAATCTAACATTTCGACCACAGTGACACAGGCTTCATATAGCCATTAAACAATTAATGATTTTTAATAAAATTGTTACTGCTTTTGGACATACAACTCCTCACGTACTAAAGTACAAGTATATATACAACATTGATTTTCAAATGTTTGGGTTTAAGCGTTATCGGCTTATGCATGTAAATAGAGTAAATCGTGTTGGACGCATGTATCTTTTTTTTTTAACATTTCCAAGGATTAACCATATTGAACAAAATCTCTTAATCGATACATGAAACATTTAACATCACAAAATTGAATCTGAAATTGAGACTGCATTTGGTAATATTATATCCACATTTTATTTCTTTTTAAAAAAGAATAGAAAGTTAAGAAAAAACATAAATCTGTATAATACATAAATATAAACACAAATAATATACGTTTATATAATATATATATTTGTTGAAAATTTGAACCACAACAAAGCTTCTGTTTTTTTTTTAAATAAGTAAGATACAACTCGATAAAATAATGACATGATAATTGTGTCCAGTAGCAGTACATTGCACTACATATTTCTGATTATATAAGGAAGATGTCCATTTACCCTCGGGCCACCTGAACAATTACTTCCTTTCCGTCCTGAAATAGGAGCATCTATAGTTAAGAAGGAATATGTGGATATGGAGCAAAGGTTTAGGAATAGCACCATACATTTATTGGAGCCATTCTTAATGGATAGGTACATTATATATTTTTACTAACAACTCAATGTTATAAAACTAAGAATATAAAAATGAAAACAACACGTTAAATAATTTCATGCGTCCGAAGCGCTTTTCTAGATTTACCTTCATCAGGACGCTCAAAGCCGAATATTTGAAAGCCGAGAATGATAAGAACCGAAACAATTGAAGAACTATATGACAAAAAAAAATACCTAAAAAACATAGCCAAATCTATCTAAGGTCAACTAGCCTGAGGGAGTTGAAACCTTAGTTTCAGAATTACCATTTTTAAAGTAGTAATTGTAATTGTTTACAAATGTTACTCTAAGCATTTTAAAACATAACATGAACACCATTGGAGTATATTAAATTATTGGGAGCAAAGTTGTCTCTGCTAAGTCATTAAAGTACTTCATGTATTTCTCTTTCAGCTGCTTATGATCGTTGCAATACTGTTGGAAGCAGTAACAAATCGACTAGCACGACAATCATATGCAAGAATATCAACTGTTGGGAACTATCCATTTATACAGAGGTTTACTAACACTGATGGAAATATATGATATTAGTACTATGAAAACAAATTAGTCATGGACGTTTTAAAAGTATGCACTAGTACCAACAGACGAAAATTTGTATTTACCCTCATCTTTATATCAGCTCTCACTTATACCATACATAACCACGGTACGTAAACAACTCACTTTTAATATTTGCTTTTAATTAATGGACTGACTACCTCTACCGATTTCATACATTAGTCAATTTCTTTGGAAGTCCAATGCTATTTCAGTGAAAGATGTGTTTTCAATAACTACCATAGATGAAAATATTTAAATCCATACAAATTGTTCAATTCTAAGTAAACGGAAATGTTCGAACGTTTCTTTCATATTTATTTAATAAAACAGCGATCATTTGATTTTTCACCAATGCGGAATATAGCGGTATCAATTTCATAAAAATTATCCTAAACAAAATTTCGTCCTTCCTACTATCGTCATTTTTCTTAATTTATATGCAGAACATTTACATAGAATTAATAAATAATTTGACATTCTTGACTTTTATTTCAGGATACAATATATTTTCCCGCAGCACTATGAGAAACTTACACAGCAGTACTCATGTGAGGAATACAGTTCTAAATAAGTCTATAAACAGTAATACTGGGAGACATATTAACCAAAATAAAAAAGGGATATCAACACATAATCATAGAGACATTTTATTATTTGGTTACCAAAGAGGAGAAACAACATTTGTGGGACATATTCTTGGATGTAGAAAGGATACGTTTTATTTTTACGAGCCTTTCTGGTCAGTATCAAGACAACAATATTTTACGAAATCTCAGAAGTGTGACACACACAAAGATGTATGCAGGTAGGTAGTATTAAACATTACCTGATAAAAATATCATATCAATAAACATGGTAAACAAATGACAACAAAGCCAAGCAACATAAAATACAACCAAATTGCACTCAGTGCAAATAAAACAAACGAACAGAACAAAACTTAAGTGTTTTTTTTTATTTTATCGAAAACTCGACCTCTGGTCTTTCTGTTTTTTCGGGTCGTGGGTTGCTGTCTCATTGGTGTTTACCCCATGTCTTTTACTGTTTCTTTTATAATATTGTTATCTTTAGCATGTTTGGAGTAAACAATATGAAGAAATTTACCAATGAATTCGTCTTAATCGTAAATAAAAATTCTAGCATAAAAAAGAACATGATAAAAGAAGTAAATATCTCATTTTATTTATAAGAAAACTTAACTTTTTTATATGGAGCATTTGAACACAGAGAGTGCAACTGGAAACCAAACAGATTTTAAATCCAAGTAGAATCAAAGTTGTAAACTTCTATGTCATTTGGTCTCTGTTGTAAAGTTGTCTCATTGGCAATCATAACACATCTTCTTATTTTTATACTTGTGATACTAAAGTCAAGGTTGTTTACAGTAATGCTGACAAATATTACTGTTTCTAGACAATTTAGCTTTATTTGGCAAAACCTTTCGGAATTTTGGGTCCTCAATGCTCTTCAACTTCGTACTTTATTTGGCCTTTTTTACATTTTTTTATTCGAGCGTCATTGGTGAGTCTTTTGTAGACGAAACGCGCGTCTGGCGTACAAAATTTTAATCCTGGTATCTATGATGCGTTTATTTGCAACATTGGGACTATGATTCCACCAGGGCTTTCAGCGACCAATTTCATATTGAAATCTATATGCTCAGTTGTTTTACATTACGTGTATGTCTTTTAACATGAATTCATGACTGTACTGCATGTACTTAACTTGTTTGCGCATATAAAATTGAAGTAACATTATGTCCAACGGGCCTGTGTTAAAATCAGTTAATTTAAAAATTATATTATTTGTTATGTATACAATAGCACACATGTCACCTTCATATACAGTGCATTATGTTACGGAACTATATCTCAAGAAAATTCTTTCCAAATATTTTTGGTTCTAAATAGCTCCGAAGTGATCGTCCGTTTTTAGATATCAAGTTCAAAACAGTTTTCGTTGCACTTGAAAATTAATGAGCATGGTACAAGAGGTGTTGCGGGTCTTGTTTTTGATACACCATCCCAGTCAGATCTAATTTATACATATTTTATACTAGATTATAGGCTTTTGAATGTCACGCTATTTGCTGAAATATAAAAACAAATAAACAATCAGTTGTTCGATATCTGTTTGTGCTTACATTTCTTGAAAAGTGATAAAAAAGAGTCGGGATTGTTTATTAATTTTAGGGCATCAAATGTGACTCCCTATTTTCATTGTCAGTATGTAATTTGTTTTCTTTCGTACAAATAATGCCAACAAAAGCAGTAAGATTACGCCACGAAACTATGATATGGTAAATACTGAAACACTTGAAAGTGTTAGCTTCTCATTATTGTATAAGGTTTCAAATTTCCAAACAGTTTGGCCTCTAGCATTACTGCAAGAGACTTTGTTTGACAAAATGTGCATCTAGTGCAGTAAAATTGGGTACGTTTAATGTTAATAAAATCGATAACTTTCTGATGTACACTTTTCATTGGACTCATCTTTTACAGTAGTTAAGACACAAATAAATCGACCAAACCAATCAATCAGTTAACCAATGTATCAAAAGCACGAAACATTCAAATTCACCGTATCATTTTGTTGACATTTCAGAAACTACGACAACAGCACAATCAACATTTCAAAACTTGTAAGTTCATTGTATGACTGTGATTCCGATACAATAGGAAAACTTGTATCAAGCGTCCAATCAGAACATTCTTGTACAAGGAAGAGGATAACGTTCAAGAATAGGGATGTACATAAATTGCATAATATCTGCACACAAGCTAAGTATAGAGTTACGAAAATGCTTAGAATAAGTGCGGAATTCATTGAAAACCTTCTTCAAATAAATCCTCAATTAAAAATAGTATATTTGTATCGTGATCCGAGAGCAATTGTAACGTCAAGATTAAAAACTCATATCAGACCAATTAGAGAATTAGTGACCGCAGTTTGTAAGAAGATGGACATAGATAGCAGTATTGTTATTCAAATGGCGAGCAAACATCCACAAAATGTTATTTTAGTATCGGCAGAAAGTATTGCAAAATATACGGTTAATATTTCACGTCAAATGTTTGAATTTTTGGATCTTAAATTCACAAAATCGGATGAAAAACAAATAAATAGTTTATCAAACTGGGACAACAAGCGTAAATATATGAGAGAGGGAAATTTCAACCCGTATAAAAATAACGGGTTTGCATCGTCCATGAAATGGCGGACAGTTTTATCACAAGAAACCAAAGCCATTGTTGACAGTTTCTGTCAGTCTGTGTATCAACGTCTTGGATATCTAAATATGTCATCAACAGAATATTTCAGAAATATTAATAAAACTAACGTGTTTCTGCCTGAAAAAATAAAGGAATTTTCTTTGCAATAACATAGTGCGTTTATATGTGAAAATTGTTATGGACAAACAACATTCATCTGTAAATAAATAGCTTTAGTTAAATAAAACAAATCTACATTGCTGGATTTCTTATCCTTATTCAGATGAGGCAGGAATGTATCCACATTGTGTGTATATAATACGGAAATAGTGCATTGCTCCCTTAGACTTATTATCGCAAAAATTAGTTGGTTTACAGTATACGACATTATATCGTTGAAATATTAGAAATCATATAATAATACAAGGTATTAGCGTGCTTTTTAAATGTTGAACAATGTCGTTTATCCATGAACAGACAATTCTTAATTGTACCTTCTTAGTATAGAGACAAACACATTATAACTGTTCAATATATCCTCCAGAGATTAATAGATGCGTTCCATTGTCACGAGCAAATCAAAACATTCTGACGACATGTAGATTTAGTATTTTTCTGTCTTTTTATAGGATGCTATATTTGCAATGTTTATTTTTTTCATTTATCCAAAATATTTGTTTGGGTTTTATTTTTTCGTACATTTTTATGTGTAAATGATTTTGTTTTTGAGTCAAAAAAACATACTATACCTGCAATTGCAACTCATGGGTGATCTCCGGTTTAATTAATTTTCTGTTTAGGCTCACCAAAACGTTTCATGATGTACGATCGTTCAAGTTGCAACTTCAAATGCATTCTATATCTCCCAGTTGATATACTATTCCAGGGTTAACTTTTCAAGGCTTATAATTTTTTCCTAAATAGAAAATTGCTTATCAACCGAAAGCCTTTGAAACAAAGTTTCCCCAATGAATTATTGGAAATAATCTCTTCGAACTTTTTAAAACATTATTACGTTAACCTTTATGACTGTAAAAAAGTGATCACGTATATATTCAGTTTGTCAAGTCTTTCTCCGTTCCCCCATATAGATATAAGGAGATGTGGTATGAGTGCCAATGAGACAACTCTCCATCCAAGTCAAAATTTATAAAATTAAACCATTATAGGTCAAAGTACGGTCTTCAACACGGAGCCTTGGCTCACACCGAACAGTAAGCTATAAAGGGCCCCAAAAATTACTAGTGTAAAACCATTCAAACGGAAAAAACCAACGGTCTAATCTATATAAAAAACGAGAAACACTTATGAACCACATCAACAAACGACAACTACTGAACATCAGATTCCTGACTTAGGACAGGTGCAAACAAATGCAGCGGGTTTAAACGTTTTAATGGTACCAAACCTTCACCCTTTTTCTGAAACAATAGTGTAACATCACAACATAGAAAGACACACTATAAAATATCAACTGAAATAGCTTAACTCAATCAAAGGACATATTAACACGAGTGAACATACACTGAACAAATAAATTTGACCTATGATACAATGCAAATACAAAATTAATAAACTAAGGGAAGAATAATAAAAGTAACATGTTATATCTATACATGTTTATGACGCCACCGAATGCCACTTATTATCGGATTTTTGCTTGTCCTGAGAGGTGTCACAAATGGTGCCGGAAATTCATTATCCTTTAGAGGTAATTTAGTCCCTCCAGTTTTTTAAAGGTTCCATGAGTTTTCTGTTTGGTATTTAGTGATTTTTTAAATTTTTAAATTGTGTGTTGCATTTATATACAGGGGTCTTGTCTTTGTCTTATCCCAGGAAACAACTTTTATTCTAAACGTTTAAATTCGATTGCGAATAACAAGAAACAATTTCAATTTTATTTTTTTCTCTGAAATTATTGTTCGTTCACATAAATGTGTTTTCCCTTCATACAATATGAAAAATTTTCACAACTGGAACTTGAAATCAAGCAATTTTCTCTAACTGTTTTACAAAGAATATTTCATATTAAGGTTGTGTGACCGAAATGACAAAAAGAGTTATATTCCTATATTTTTGGTACTGTTTGTTGGTACAGTTATCTTAATACATGTAACAGTAATTATTTGAAGGAACTATTTTATATAAATAGATAATTAAGACACAATACGTTTTGGACTGCTGTACTTAAGCTATGCAGGGGCCCTCAAGTGTTCAGATTATTATCCAATCAGCAAAGGGGTTTCCCAGTCACTTCTGCATGTGCTTCTCGTTTACTAATTGTTTTGGGAGATCATACTAATTAACCAATGAGATTGCTCATTAATTTTGAATTAACCAATCAGCACTTATTTAGCAGGGCTTTTGTTTTAAACACGCACGCTTAATTATTCTTAAAGCAGCGCTTGCTTGTAGCAGTCATTTTAAATTTTTCGGGAAAATATTTTCTTCACAACCTCCACTCCCTAGTGGACATTTATTTTTATTTGCTATATACATATATTACGGATATTATTGCATTAGTAGAATCAGCTTTGCATATATCTATATTGTTTAATTAGTAGAGTAGTAATGTTTCAAAGAACTCACAGTTTTTATGGACTTTTTGTATGGAGTACCACAGTTTTTCAACTTGATTTTGCTTTCTTTGTAAATATGTTTATTGCTTATTGATATGCAAAGAAAATATTAAACTGTGATTCTTCTCCCAAACCTGTGTTTGTTCAGTTTGTACTTTAATACAATAACCAGTTGGCATATATGTCTTGGTCTCTTTACTTAACTCTGATTATTGTAAATCAAGTGCCTTTATCTGCACTGTAACTCTTCAGCATTTTGGGCACCAAAGGGATAGCAACCTGGTTATTGGTACCACTGGCCTTATTCATCAATATCACATAAGGGAGGATCTGGGTGGGACAAGTTTTGTGGATTAATAGGAATGGAAACTACAGTTATATATTTAGATATGAATGCATTTAAAATCTGAGCTATGAAAGTCTATCTTTCCGTCTTGAGCTCTGCTTTGGTTTTGGCCTTACGTCTCCATCCCCAGAGGACTTTGGTGTTCGCCTTGCCTCTTCATCCTCAAAGGCCTTAAATGATTAAAAACATACATTTTTAGATTAGAATAATTAATAACTGTACATATTTAGCGTTTATGTTTATGTTTAATTGTGTGATTTTATGTAATGTAATGTAATAATTCAATTACATGTATGATAAATATTAAGTAACAAATATTAGTCAAATAAGCATACCTTGATAGTAGTAACATCTCTGTGGTACAATACAAAATATACTTCTTTAACTGTCTGTGTATGCTGTTGCTGGTGTCGACTCATTGCTTGGAAAGCATTCATATTGGTCAATTGTCTCATTCTTTGTTGGTTAGTGGTATAGTTTTGGAATGCCTGTGAAGGATTCTGGAAATACTGTCCAACAGCCTTAAACATCTCGTTAGCGACCTCACCTGGTGGATAATTTAACCTACCAGTGCCAACAGAAGGAAACGCTATTGATGTACATCTGCTTTGAGATGCTGTCACCATGCAGTTATTAATAAATGCATTAAGTATCTGTAAAATCAAAATTTATATCAAATTGAATTAGGAAAGAATGTTACTGTTTAAGAGTAGTGGTTACATACTTGTTATTTTTTTTTTATTAATTTCTTATTTATATCGAAAAAACACTCCCTAGTAATACTAGAAAATATATCCACAGAACTGATCTAATATGATCTTTCGACGCAGTTCTGATGTTTTGCACTTTGAGATATAGATACAAATAGATGAGTGTTAGAATAACTTTTTTATTGGTATTCATTAAAAGAAATCCAATTTCTTAAGTGAAGGACATGAAAGACTTTAAATAACATAGTTTTCAAAGGCGTGCTTCGGACACACGAAGTTTTAAAGTGTTATTTTTGATTTTGTGTCCCATCGTAGGTATATTCTATATTATTTGCACTTTATCAGGAGAGTACATGTGACTATGTCATTAAATTTTCTCATACTGTACTAGATTACATTAACTATCAACTACGAAATAATTTTTTGATGGTGTCTGTCTTTGATTTTGTTGTATGTTAGTTTGCATTAAGTTTAGTCGTGTTGTATATCTATGATATAAGTTTACAAAATTTTGCCTGCTGGATCACAATTATTATCAAGTTAACAAATCATGTCTGTGTTGCTGGTTGTTCACCTAATTTTGTCAATATAAATGTCATACAAGTAGGAGATAGAGCTAGCTCTAAAACAAGGTTGAAACCAGCATGATCTTTATAATATGTCCACACAGTCAAGAGTATGTCAGTTGTTTTCTAGTCGTTCCATTGGTTGATATAGTCTTCTGATCTGTAATTTTACCGATTGTGTCCTATTGCCGATTTTGACATTTTAACTGAGTTTGAATTCGTATGGCGGATGTTGCATGCCTTGCAGGAGACGCTTACACTGCCGATGCACCCTGTCTCGCTCCGTTTGGAGTTCATGTGATTCCGTAAGTGTCAGTTTCTTACCTTGATTTGTATCTTACGAATCGATTTACCAAATTTGAACATGTTGTCTTAATGGCCCTCCCCTTTTTTGAATTTACCTTGGATTTGTTTTTTTATATTACATTTTTTCTAAAATTCCCCGTTGATAAATAAAGAAAATAATGAATTGTCTATTGCTTAAGTGTCCTCTTGGTCAAATTACTCCTCATGTAGTTCGATACGTTCCTGGTGAAGTTAAATCCAATTAACCACTTCGAACGCACCAAATTTATTCTGACCAGTTTTTTCATATTCTGTACGTGTTGTTATCAATTTATCTATTTGTGTAGAATATATTTTTAACCTAATTTTGGGAGTCTTACCTGTAAAGACGAACCATCCCTTTTCCACTCTGGCAGAGCTCCATGGAATATAGACTTGCATTTAAGTAAACCACCAGTTGTTACAGCAATAGCTCCAAAGTCCAGGATTGTACCTTTATACCTCTGACACCCCTGAAGAATTGATTTGCCACCATGTTTTAACAATGAAGCAGACACTGCACCGCTCCGATCAAGTTGTAAATCTTGGCTGGTGGTATTCACAATGACATCGACCTAAAAATATTCAATAAGATACATTTTGTAACAAAAAAGTTCATCATTCTAATAAAAAGTGAGACACGCAACACATATTTCATACCGTGCAGGTAGTTTTCAGCCGATTTATTTTGATACCTTTGAAATTTCTTCAAGCCTGTCGAACATGTATTTAATTTCATTTACAAATTTCAGTATTTATATTTTCTAATTTCATTTAGGCTTCAAATGATTTACATTTAACTGTTAAATGCAAAAGAGAGGCGAAAGATACAAAATACACATTCAAACTTATAGATCGAAAATAAACGCCATGACTTAATAAAAATAATCCGCCGGACGCAGCTAGATATGACCGCACTGTAGGTCGAACCCTGAACAGTTGGGGCAAGTATGGACTCTACATACAAGCTTGATACAGTTCTGAATTTGGATTGTGATTTAATATTTGACACAGCATATATAGGTTTCTGTCACAGAACGAATGTGTAACAGTGGTTTGATTCCGCCAGTGTACTTTATCCGGAGGAAGAAAATCCCCAGTGATTTTTATCCACCAACAAAAAATCACTAGGGTTTTCTATCCGGGTCCAGTGTAAAACATTCACCAGTCATTATAAGGTTCTAAAAAGGTTTTTTTGAAGGGGAAATATATATAAAATTGGTAAGGGTTCCGCGGAACCCAGTGTCTCGCCTACTTTTTCTGTTAATCGCAGGCTCAACAAAAATGAGGAAGTAAATCAATAAAAATATTCCTCTTGATACTATCTTTTGATTGTAAGAAGCTTCTGTCCAAGTTTGGTAAAAATCCAGGATAGTTTATGAATCTAATAAATGTTTAAAAACTTTAACTGCAGACTGAATGTAATGTTAACTGGAAGAAAACAAAATTTCCTTCTAGATACTAGCATTTGATCATAAACAAGCTTCTGTCCAAGTTTGGTACAAATCCAAAATAGTATAAGAAAGTTATTAAAATTTTAAAAACTTTAACCACAGAGTGAATGTGTTGTTTCCTGGCAGAAAATCTAAGTCCATTTAAAAGTAAAATAAGGAAAAAATGGATTTTTTTTTTTACAAAATTTACTTCTGGATACTATCTTATGATCATAAACAAGCTTCTGTCCAAGTTTGGTAGAAACCCAGGATAGTTTAAGAAAGTTATTAAAATTTTAAAAACTTTTACCACAGAGTGAATATTTGTGGACGCCGCCAACGACGACGCCGACGGAATGTAGGATCGCTATGTCTCGCTTTTTCGACTAAAGTCGAAGGCTCGATAAAAATGTGGCTTAATAGTTTTTAGTGTATTTGAAAATTCCATAGTTGATTTATGTAAAAAGTGCAGAGTTTTCATCCAAGGAATGTTCACACTAGTATTTTTGAACCAGGAATGATTACACTAGTGATTTTGTACCGGAATGATTGCACTAGTTATTTTATACCCGGCAGGATTAATTACACTAGTGCTTTAGATCCATTCATTGGTGAAGTGATTAGTACTCATTTTGAACACACGACAACACAATAATGCTTATTACTGAATGAGATTTAAATAATTTTTCTATGCAAATCTATATAAAATCATATGCTTTTAAATTGTCACTAAGTGTAATATCTATATTTATTGGATTGCAGAAGTTTTTCTATGTATTTGCTTTTCGGTCGACTTGAATATTAAATCACATCTTCTATGTCAATATCAAAGGATGCTTCTGTAATTGAAACTTTATGTAAGAACAAATCTGCTCTTTAAATTTGGTTTGTATCCTGATCATTGATAAAGTATTTTGAGTTATAAAAATATTCTCCTCCTCATCATTAATATTATTTACTAGATTGACTCAGATTAATAAAACTGGTTCCTTGAAAATCATTTTAATTTTAACCCATTTATTTATGTAAACAATAAACCGGTTTAATATAAACAAAACAACGATATCAAGATCGACGCTTTCACACTATTTACATCCAATATTCTCTAGTGAAAAACAGTTAACCGGAATAAATACACGGCGGAATGAAAGTACGCTTACAAATGTGGTCAAATAACTAAAAAAAATGAAATTGGATTTTACCTATTATGGTCCAATATCCAAAATCTAAATATACGGTTAGATTCAGCATATTCAAGAATGACCATGGATCATATTTATAGTCATATGTCATTGTGTATCATCACAGATTTACCATAAGTGTAAACCAAATCATGATCATGCTGTCGTGAAATTTCCAAATTGATGATTATATCTCATAAAAATCAACTGTTCGTTAGTCCCTTAGAGGGAGTTTAGCGTGTGACAACATCTGACTTTAATCAGATTGGATTTCAACGATACCAGTTTGAACTCTTTGTCAATTTAATATGCAATTTAATGTACAGTTCATATGAATCGTCTATTAAATTTGTATATAGTATAACAACATCCCCAATAAAGAGTCACTTTATTAGGTCTTTTAACCTTTATGAAACCATGACAAAATCTTGTTGATCACTAACACGAAAATGTTTACAACCACTCAGGCAACTTACCTGCATCTGCGCTAAATCTCTGATGACAACTTGAATCTGTGGTATATGCTGTGCAACTGCAGTATAAAAAAACAAATTTTCTAAAGCTATTCCAAAAAACCGTGCTGTACCGTTTACTGTTGTCTTTAAGACACATGCTCTGATAATAAAATTTATCGAATATCTCATATTCTCCATTTTTGCATTTTTTACAAATTCTGGCTTTGCAATAATTAAACAATTTTGTAATGCAAAATTCTTACATTAATTTAAAGTGTGATGGTATACTAAACCAGAAGACAGTGTTATTTATTTCACCAGTGAGAGTAATCAGTTTCATAAATACATGCTGGCTCTTTTTAAAGATGAAAGGCTGGTAAATTCATACATATTGTAGACTAAATAAATTCTTTTATACAAGTTCACCAATTTTAGAATTACTTATTAAATGAATATAAAAATTATTGTTTCTCATTGGCTAAAAACATTATATTCACCGTGGGAAATATCAAAAGAGGTTAATATAAAATTTGGAACAGCTAAAGTGTACCTATAACTATTATTTTACAAAAGCAACGTCAACAACGAAGGTTTATAACGTCATTAACATTCTCGTTTGTCTTCATCTTCTTTTTTTCGATGTTATTCCTTTTTAGTAAATTTTATTGCATATTTCAACTTAAAAATTAGCAACTGCTAATATATCAGATAACATATTCAGTATAAAACAAGGAACAGTTAAATATTTTGATATAATACTAGAAAATTGGAGATGGATAACAAAAAAGGAATATAATAATCCGATTGTTGACTCTAGCTATTAGTTGATATAGTGATTTATCAACCCCAGAGATATTACATTCACCCTCGGCAGTTTTCTTCGATGAAAAACCTATCTCTGGGTTGATAAAAGTCAATAAATATATATTGATACCTGTCAAACCGTCTTTAACACCTCTTGAGGTAATTGGTCTTTTATCAGAACTCTTAAATATTCTGCTAGCAGCGTTGACAAAAATATCCGCTACTTTAGCTGCAATGTCGCACAAATAAATAGTTTTCAAAGAACTATTTGGATTTTTTCTGAAATATCCCCGAACAGCCAGTGCTATTGTGTTAGCAGCTTCATCAACTGGATAGTTAGATGTCCCCGTTGAAAGTGCTGGGATAGCTACCGTCTGAAAATGTTTTCTGTCTGCCTCACTTAAAATAGCATACACACAGTTTGTCATGACGACATCTTCATTGGACTGTAGATTTTGCCACACAGGCCCAATAGCATGAACTACCATTTTACATTTTAGAGTGCCAGGGCTTGTACAAAAAACATCGCCTTCATTCAAAAGTCCATGACTACGTCGGTAATCCTTACACTCTCTCTGTATATGTGTACCCCCTTAAAAATAACATAGCGAACAGGTATAGGTTTAAAAACATTTCTGATTTCTGTATTACTCTTAGTCATGCAAAGTTAGAAATAAATTAATTTCTATTAAGTTTTAAACATTTTTCAAATGTATGGATGTCCTTATTGCCATGATGTTCTGTCATTAACCGGTTGGTGCTCTTAATATCTATAGTATTAAATTTGTAGACCAAAATTTTTTAGCCGGTTTGTCTCCGAGCCCACGATCGTCTGAAGTATTTTATAATAATAAATAGTTAGTCTATGTAATGTACTTTATAACTTCATATAGTAATTGCTTTAATTAGCGTATCTTCATTAATTAAATTATATATACAGAATGTATTTTCAGCCTTGTATCACCATCACTGCTGGTGATTCGATGGATAAAATCTATTGAAAGTCGTCCTTGGTTCAGACGTACTTATTATATATATAAATATATATATATAACAGGTTTTTTTTCAAAACATATTGGCATGTAATTTAGTAGAACTGATATATAACAATAACTTATAAAACCAAATATGATTTCAATTTGCATCTCTATCCGTCGAAAAATACCTTCTTCAGCTATGATTTTAGACAGTCCACCACTATTAGACAATTGCTGGTCTGCAGGGCTTACAATAACATCGACATCTAATCCAGATATATCACAGCACAGTACCATAACACTTTGGCCATCTTCTGCTATGAATGACGCAACAGCACTACCAAAACCTAATCCGCCTGGGACCATTGGCCTAACATCTTCTTTCTTCATTTGTGATTGCATCAATTTTATTATCGGACCAAGTTCATCCATGGCAGCCTTTTTACCTTTTTTGTTTCCTTTTACCACAATGCAGTCAGGCTCAAAGTCTACATCAACATTATTTGCCTGGAGATGCATTTTAGCTATATCTATTTTATCCTGATGACGATGTTTAATGAATTTCATCTGGTGGGCTGAAAAATGAATAGTTTGCTCACTTCTTCCATTTTCAAATATAAAATCTTGTATTCTTTCCCGTATGCTTTTCGCTTCTATCTGCGCTGTACAAAGAAGCATAATTTCCTCACCATGATGTGCAGTTATCTGAATAAAAACATTTTGATCTTGATATTCTTTCTTAATATTTTCTACAAATTGTTTCCAGTCTCTGGAATAACACAATGTTTTATTTTGATCCTCAACAGGAATTTTCATATCTATGACTTTTTTTTTGAAAATCTTTTCAATATCTGTTGCATCATCTGCTGTAAATGCGTATATAGTAATTTTATTGTCATCAAGCTCCCAAATACCACATATACCGCTAGCTATAATTTCATTTTTAATCAAAGTCTCTACTTCTGGTTGGCTTAGAAATTTCATATAATCTAAAGACACTTGTCCAATACAATGCTGTTTAACACAGGATAGTTTTGCGTACATTTCCATTTTCACCATGTTTATATCGCTTATCATTCCCTTCAGTTTTACTACCGGTTTGGTTATTAGAACGTCTATTTCTAGTTCTGGATATTTATTTTCCATATCAGACCAAAAATTTTTTTTTTGCAGAATGGACTGCTGGAATTGTTCTATTGTCACGTCGTCACAAATGAGCTGTCGTGTTTTATTAAAATCATCGGTCTTTTCTGTAAGGATTCTTTCAATCTTACTTGATATTTGTAATGCAAAAGATTTCTGACCAACAACATGAATTTCACATGCTTCGTTATTAAATGATACGATAGCACTGTCTGTATCCTTAATTTGTTGTGCGTTAATTTCATCTAAAACATCATTCCATATTTCTCTCACTGTATAATGTCTTTGTACTGTAACATCCCGAATAAGCTGTTCAAAACAAAATCGCACGTCCTGTTCCCATGTCTCTGCAATCTGTTTTGTATCTGGATTATCTGTTGAAAGCGAGCATTCTAGTTTTATAGGTTCAGACGTCGATGAAGGCCACGTAATGTTTGCATTAATTTTATTCATTTTTTGACTGACAGATTCTTGCGAAGTTCCAGAATGCAATAAAAATTGAAGTACAGTCGGATTAATATTACTGAGAATTACAGGCGGAGTATCAGTGTCAACATACTCTACCGCTGGTTCAGTATCCTCCTCCTTAGCTTCAGACAATGGAGGTCCTAAGCACTCATAAAACATTTCAACTTTTAGTAGACAGTTGTCGATTGTGTGTGATCTTCGACATGCAGTTTCTGCATCTAAAATTGCAAGAACAGTTTAAAGAAAAACATAAATAATTCGTCCATATAACAATCTCAAGTATATAAGATCTATTCCATACATCCTTGAATTTAAATTTAAAATAAAGCTATCAGCCCAAAGTAGTATGTTACCTGCCCCTTGCAAATATACATATTATTAACTAGTTTTCGCAAGTATGGATCTTTTCCGTTGAACTACCGTTTCATGAAGATGATTTATTTTTTAAAAAAAATTGAAAAAGGAAATCTTTGAAAATATTCACAAAGGACGGCCGAGATGCACAGTGATCTAAAGATGTTAATTAAAAGTATTATATATACTATAACTCGTTTTCATACCGTTGCTACTTCTTCTCTACTTTCTGTAATTTAGAACTTTTTCACATATTGATAAAAATGAAAAGAACATATTACACATCCAGTCATTTTTGTACGGTATTATTTACCTCGATGAGTTATGTACCACAGTATATCCTTCAATAAGTACCACATGTACATGATATATCGACCGTTTCTAATGACAATTGGACAACATGGAAGCTTTGATTAAATGAACACAAACGGTACCAATTTGACTACACTAGAAATTACCAAACTATTATTATACTTTCATTAAACGTTTTTAATTATTTTTATTGGTACGAAGTTATGGAACTTTGGTTATACAAAAAAACGTTCTAATGCAAGTTCAACAGTTTATCCACTGATATGAAAAGAAATCTTCAGATTTGATTCTTTCTATAAAATGACACCTGAGTCTAAAGATAAGAAGTGACGAATTATGTTTTCATGTAGGATATAATATAAACTTTATTACAGAGGTTTTTTTTTTATTCTTGATACGACTGAAGTTAGCGTTATTACCATTTGGATCCTCGAAGTAAACCAAACAATAACCGTTTTCCATTTGTACTTTTGACACCCGTTCAACACCAGACTTCCTTTTATTGTCAAAATAGTATTCCAACGCATTTTCTGTTGTCTTCTCACTAAACCCACTGACTATTATACAGTCACTGACAATAACTGGTTTGATTTGTAAATTAACTTTCTCCAAAGATTTTTTCTCACATGCTTGCTGAATTTCGGCGATCTCTATAAATACAAATAAAGGCAACAGTAGTATACCGCTGTTCAAAAGTCATAAATCGATTGAGAGAAAACAAATCCGGGTTACAAATTAAAACCGAGGGAAACACATCAACTATAAAAGGAAAACAAAGGAACAACAGGAACACTAAAGTGCAACAAAAACAAACGCCAACATACATAGAAACGAACTATTTGATAACAACTGCCATATTCCTGACTTGGTACAGGACATTTTAAGAAAAAATGTTGTTGTAAACGTATATAATGTATGTGAACTAAATGCATCAAACATAACGTTTATTACCTACATAACATTAAAATAAATTTGTCTGGATGTTGACTTCCAATGAAATATAATTAGCCCTCAATAAACTCATCAAAGATACCAGACTTAAAATTCGGTACGCTAGACGCGAGTTATTATAAAAATGAAGATGTGGTATGATTGCCAATGAGACAATTCTCCACAAGAGACCAAATGACACAGACATTAACAATTATAGGTCACCGTACGGCCTTCAACAATGAGCAAAATGTATTTCTACTCAAAAATCATCTTTGACTCTCTCATCAAAACAGTTGGAAGGCCAATAATAAGTAAAAAAAGAAGATGTGGTATGATTGCCATTGAGACAACTCTTTCACAAGAGACCAAATGACACAGAGATTAAAAACTATACGACCTTCAACAATGAGCAAAGCCCATACTGCATGGTCAGCTATAAAAGGCCCCGAAATGACAAATGCAAAACAATTCAAACGAACTAATGGCCTAATTTATGTACAAAACAATAAACGAAAAACAAATATGTAACACAGCAACACACAACAACCGCTGAATTACAGGCTCCTGACTTGGGACAGGCACATACAGAATGTGGCGGGGTTAAACATGTTAGCGGGCGCCCAACCCTCCCCTAATCCTGGGATAGTGAATGTATTGTGTCATAGGTCAAATTTATTTGTTCATTGTATGTTCAATGGTGTTAATATGTCCTTTGATTGAGTTAAGCTATTTCAGTTGATATGTTATAGTGTGTCTTTCTATGTTGTGATGTTACACTATTGTTTCAGAAAAAGGGTGAAGGTTTGGTACCATTAAAACGTTTAAACCCACTGCATTTGTTTGCACCTGTCCTAAGTCAGGAATCTGATGTTCAGTAGTTGTCGTTTGTTGATGTGGTTCATAAGTGTTTCTCGTTTCTCGTTTTTTATATAGATTAGACCGTTGGTTTTCCCGTTTGAATGGTTTTACACTAGTAATTTTTTGTGGCCCTTTATAGCTTACTGTTCGGTGTGAGCCAAGGCTCCGTGTTGAAGACCGTACTGTGACCTATGATGGTTTACTTTTATAAATTTTGACTTGGATGGAGAGTTGTCTCATTGGCACTCATACCACATCTTCTTGTATCTATTGGTCAGGAAAGCAATGGTCATTTATAATTAGTTCCATTTTAAGTCATCTCTTTTTAGCAGTCACTTTGGAGTTTAAACTTTTTAAATGCTAAAATTGAGTCTGCTATATATTTTGATCTTGTTCATGGTATTGACCCTGACGGATAATTTCAAATTAACATCTATGACAAACGTGGAAACAACAGCTTTCCAAACACCAGCTTTTCATTTATTATCAATAACAAACCCTTTTCTACATCGTATGACATTTAGATATTTCAATTAATACGTTACGCTCGTACATGCCCACTATATATGGACTTGATTTAAAATTTGTTGAAATGAATGTGCTCCTTAAACACAATCTGATCACACAATGATTGGGAAAGAACGATTAAAATCGTCAAGACGTAAATTTTGCAGTCTTCATCAGGAATGGTTGGCCGATACAATGTGTTTATATTCTTACTTACTCGACACATTTTCGCTGTTTTATATCTTTTGATTACAGAACAGTTGGTTTCTCTGTTCATTTACTGACTGTGTCCTATTCCCTATTGTAAGATTTTGAACTTAACATCGTTCTGCACTCAGTTGATGAAACCACAATTTAATCGTTGTTGGGCTCAAACCAAAACTTTATCCTGATGCGGAACGAACAAACGGACAACGTAGTACAAACCCCGGAAACATACCCACTACGCCCTTCTTATATAGACGGGGCATAAAACCAAAGAAAACAATAAAAGGAACTGCGCCCGGATATTATCATATGAATATTCATAGATATCAATACTTACGAACATCTCCGCAGAATGTTACAACAGCAATAGAAGGGTCACTTTCACTAAAATTGACATCGTCTACATCAAACTTTGTTCTTCCTTCCATGTAATTTATCAATCCTTCCTTAGTAACTGTAGACTTTATATCTTTAACTAAAACTTTGTTCGGATATCTGTCAGGAGGGATAAATTTTCTTACGTCTAATAAGGCTCCATCTATTGTATGTGTTTTTCCAACTATTTTGTCTACAGCTGAAAAATTACATAAACTCGACATAATGAAAATAAGGAGATGTTAAATGATTGCAAATGAGACAATGTACATTGAAAACATTTAAAAAAAAATGTTTATTGGCATTGCAAAAAAAAAAGACCAGTTATTAGATATGGTGATACCGAAACCGTTTTGTCGATATCAAAAATTTGAATTTTGAAGAGGAAATATATTGTCGCAACAAAGTTAATTGTTTTATACATACCTAAGGGTCGACAGGAGAGATCAATAGGTGGCATACGGCTTAACATAATTTGAAATGACTTATTTGCAGTTTTCCATCGATTGCTTGACTTAATACTGAATATAACTAATATAATGCATGAATAACAAGATATACTTAAATTAATCCTTATCGTCGAACCGGGTCCCACTTCATTTTGACCTCAGTGTATACCGTAGTGTATATTACCAACATATAAGTGTCGTAAGTATTCGATGAATAAATCAGATTTTAAACTTTAAACGAATCAATAAAGTTACCAATATTTATAACTGTGCCACTTTCTATATAAAGCTGAACTCAAAGGTTAAATAAGCACAAGTCAACAAAACATAAACAGTAAGTCAGACTTATATATCTTTGCATGAAACTGTCCTAAAAACATACTTAAGATAACATGTCATACATTTTCTGAGATCTAAACTCGAAGGTAAAACTCAAATGAAGTCACTATAGAGTAAAATAAATGCGTTACATCGCAATATGCTGTTTCTTACCATCGTCACGTGATTGCAGGCTACCTAGCATATTGACTCAGACATTATCTTAATAAAGATAATGAGGCATAGAATTTGGCAAGAGTACGATACTTATATAAGTGATTGTTTACACTCCTCTAGGTATATCGATCGTTATCTATTATATGATTGCAGCTCACTTATTACACTACAAAGAAAGTCTTATAATCTGATGGAACATTTTCAAAATGAATCAGATCTATACTAAGAAATTCTTGTTATAATTTAAGCTGATTCTTTTTAACAGTTAAATTAAAAAAATTCTTACCGGACTCTGATTCGAAAGTTAACAGATAAATGTTCTTTTCTTCATCAAAATCAATATGTTTGATATCTTCATCAGCGCCATATTTGCCCTCAAAATAATATTCTAAAGTAATCTGTTGCGTTGATTTTTTTACTCCACAGACTTCTACCACACAACTGGAAATATCTTTAGGTAAAGAGTGTTCCTGATGTAAGTTTCTTTTGGAATCTACGTGTTCTATGTGCAATTCTATGGGTTTGTAGATTTCAACCCCGATATCTGCTTTCATAAACTGGAGAGGGGATCTTTCCAGAATGGTATCGACGACTGAAAAAAAATATATTGAAGACTAAACGATTGGTACACATACATATTAACACAATCCTGACATCTAGAACGTTTCAAGTTTTAATGCATTCTTTCTGCTCGCACATGATGAATATCATTTAATGTTTAAGTATTTTTCTTTTATAGTCTTATATTTTAAGATTAAGTAGAGAACAGAAACTAAAAATTCAGCAATTTTTCTATTTGTAAACACGCATAACTCTAGAACGGTTGTGTATAAGTTTTATAACATTTGGTTGAGACAAACTAAAGTTTAAGAACGGAAACGAAAAATTCAGCAATTTTTATATTTATAAAGGGACATAACTCAAGAATGGTAAATGTGTCGCCACCAAATTTCGTACTTAATCTGTATTATGTAGTAATAAGCATTGTGTATAAGTTTCATAACATTTGGTTGAGGCAAACTAAAGTTAGAAAACGGAAACAAAAAATTTGTACTTGTTCTTAGTTTTGTGGTAATGAATATTGTGTATAGGTTTCATAATGTTTGGTTGGGGCAAACTTAAGTTACAGAATGGAAACTAAAAATTTTGCAATCTTTCGATTTATAAAGAGGCATAACTCAATAATGGTTAAAGTGACACTACCCAAATTCAACTTGATCTGTGTTTTATCAGTGGATGTCAAAATTTAACATTGCATTGTATAGAGCATTGATTGGAGTTGATTCAACTATAATCATGGACAAAGGAAGATAACTCCAATTTTATAAATTACTTGATATCTAGAAGAAAATAAAAATTTTGCAATTTTTCCATTTATAAAGGAGCTTAACTCTAGAACGGTTCAAGTGACGCCACCAAAATTCAAACTTGATCTGTGTTTTGTAGTAATAAGCATTGTGTATAAGTTTCATAACATTTGGTTGAGGCAAACTCAAGTTAGAGAACGAAAACCAATTTTGGGACGTACGTACGTTCGTTCGTACGTACGTACAGACGGACAATGGTAAAACGTAATGCCCCTACCGCTACGGCGGGGGCATAAAAATCTATTGCATGAGTCAAACCTTAAACATGTATGGTAAATCTGTATGGGAATAAACATATAAACCAGTCTTTTTCTGCTCATTTTCCTTTTTAGGTGACAAACCAAACTAAACTAGATATTAAAATATTTTGTTGTGTAAAAGATATATATATTGCACCAAATAAACACACCATTGTCTTCTACAAAGGTAACAACAGCTGATGCATTATGGGAATCGTAGGTTACATTATCTACGTCCCCTCCACCAGATCGCCGTTTATTCTCGAAGAAAAACCTTAAATTTTCTTCAGTTGTTTCCACTGGAAGATTTGTCACTTTTATTTGTTTTGTTTTCGCGCGTATTTTCTTTTGTACTGCAATAAAAGGGAGATGGTTAAACATATATGATACATGATGATTGGGTAGGCAGATTGAATACAAGTATACCATGAAACTACTTTTGACAAATTGACAATTAATGCCCAGGAGTAGTTTCCGAAGTTTTGTTTAACTCTGCCACACGTTAATGCGAATGTAAGTAAGTAACCTGGATAATGCATATCGTTTTTGCTTTTGTGATGATGTTTTTGCAAATTTTAACAGCTTAACTTGATGATTCAGGTTTTGAAACAAGGTAAAATCGCACGTTCATCGTTTAAAGCTGTATGTTTACGTCTTAATGTATGTTACAGTTTTATTGTATTGATTTGTTGCTGTTGCAAAAACATATATTATTTTTTTACCTTTTCGTCATAAGCACCTTATAACTGGCATTAGCTATTTCTCTGCGTTGTACACGTAATTCAGGGGTAGAGGAATAACATGTCGGTTCGGAGTCAGACTAATGTGTCCGGCTAGTAGGTGTTCAAAAGACGACTTTAAAAGAGATGAGAAAGATACCAAAGTTATATTAAAACTCATAAGTTGAAACCAAACTGACAATGCTATGGCAACAAAACGGAAAACGACGAAACATATATTGCATGTATGATTGGTACAGAGAAGAAATATCAAAAAGCTTTTTTATTTTATTGACATCTTTTTTTATTTAAAAAATTGCGACTCGCCATGCAGATATAATAAAGTGATATTTTACCATAAGTTGATTTGTGTTTTTAATAATATTAGCCTAGAATTAAAATCTTAATCGATAATATTTTGCTGTTTATCACTCAGTAAGGTAATACATTTTGAGTCAAATTTATTTTATAATTATTATTATCATTATTATTATTATTATTATTATTTTTTCATTATTTTATTTTCAATATTTTGTTTCAACCTTACCTATATTCTGTACCATATTTGGTTGTTGTGACTTCTGCCGACTGTATATAATTTCAGGAGAGTCTTGCTGTGAATGCGCCGTAACCTCAACAGCCGAATCATTTCTTGCCGTAGGGTTTTCAACTGAATGTTGTCTCATTACTGTAGGTATTTGATATGCTGGTGGCTGCATCCGTACGTTCTGATGATATCCAATTGGATAACCTGGAAACTGAGCTCTTGGAGGAAAAACGCCCCCCTGTGGTCTGTATCTAGGATCTAACATCGGAACCGGAGGAAAATCATGTGCATACGGGTAAGGTAAAACAGGATTCTACAAAAGACGATTAATATCTATGAACTTATACTGTCTGCTTTATGCATAGCCGGTAGAATAATTTCCTCCAATTAACAATTGGTTTGACCATAATCGTGATACCAATTTATCACAACATTAAAGAGGGTTATGTTTGATATTAATTAAAGAGATTCGGATTTCATTGAACGCAGTCACATGTACTTATATTTCTTTTTGTCGCGATATCTACACTGACGGAAAGTGAACAGAAAGTTCGATTTTCGAAGCACTTTCCCTGGTGAATAGTAATGATAATAGTGATCAGGATAAGATACGAAATAAGTTATTTATGAATGAGAAACTTTGAATTAACAAATAATGATTTAGTTAGATATTAACTTTATATTGACCAGTTAAAAAGAAAGACAATTAATCCTCGAACATATCTTTATTAATTGAATATCAAATTCAAAGGAATATGGCTATATACAGTTTCATTAACATGAAGATATAATTCCTTTTATTTTCGATAAAAATTTATCTTGTGTTTGTGTCAATTTGAAAACAAATTTGTTTTATGCATGAAAACAACCCATTATTTTATAATTTTTCCTTTTCAATTGAGATTTAATAGTTGTTTTCCTGTGTACAAATAGTTTGCATTGATTATTGTTCCATACCATAATTTTTGTTCCAAATATAAATATAATAATTTATATAATTTGATATAAATTTAAACCTGAATCATGGGAAATGGTAGTCCAGAATCTTTATCTTTATTGTTAATTATCCAATCGGTTGCCACGTGTACATCCCTGTTTCCTGTGTAAAACAGTCCCTGAAAATACGAAAATAATATGAACATTTTAAATGTCGCTCAGATATTGTTACAAGCTATATTCTATTTCAATATCATAGATTAAGGACATGTATTACAAATATTGTCGAAAACTCATTACTGCACATGTCTTATACAGAAGGACCTTTTTCAGAAGATTGAATTATGATCGTCTTTTCTGGTCTTAAACCGTTGTTTACTCATGAAAATGAAAGTTGCCGAAACAATGAAAACATCCATCCTCATTATTGCGTTCATAACTAGATTCATAAAATGTATAATAATTAATTTTATTGTCAATATAACTCGATGCTACCCGAGGGTCCTCAATGCCCTTCGATTTTGTCCTATATTTGGCCTTTCTAACTTTTTTGATTTGAGCGTCACTGGTGAGTTTTTTGTAGACGAAATGCGCGTTTCGCATACTAGTACAAAGTTTTAATCCTGTTATTTAGGATGAGTTTATCTACTATAGTACATTGTACAAAAGGTAAATAAATATTACAAACCCTTATTGATTCATTTTTAGAAAAACCCATATCTCCTAATTGTTGTAACAAATGTTCAGCAGGTATAAAACCTCCACTTGGTGCTGGTCGTCCTTGAGAATTCACATCTTCATTGGGAGGCACTGAATCATTTTCATCCTGTATTAAAATTACATAAAAACAGATATTCCACTGAGATTAAAACAGAAATTACGAATTCTATATATCATGGTAAACGTTTTTCCTAAATGAACGACGCTTCTAATGTCATTAGTATTTTGTATTAGTATTTTTGTAATAGTCTTTAGTTTGTTTATATCATCCTGCATTTTTGAATTTCAATTACGTAATAAATCTGCGATGTATCGTCATCGATATCGGGTATGAGTTTTTTGCTCTATGGTGAATGTCTCACTTTCAGACGAAGAACAGCACTGAAGAAGATGTTTGTTTCATTCGGTTTTGATCAAGATTGTGCGTCGTAAATTAACGCACTCTCTTGAAAGTGTACATCAAAGATATGAATCCAACAAATCTAAAATTTATAGGACTATAAGGTCCGTTTACAATATTTATTGCGCTATACATAAGTATGTTAAACAATAAGCTTATTTGGATATTTGTAGGTGACATCAACTTACAAGAATCCATTGTTCAGGTATATCACAAGGACAGTCACATGGGCTGATCATCAGGTGTCCTTCCGAACAGTTCACAGATTTCTTCTCGATGTAGCACCTAGCATCTAAAACAAAGCATATTTATTTACTTACTAATTGAATTGTGTATCCCGTTCAGAAGCATTTGAACATTATGTTTCTTGTGAAGCGCATGCTAAAATTAAATTTATTATTCATCAAGAATTTTTTATAAAGGATAGTTAAGCATACTACCCAATAGTAAGTTCCTGATTTGATACAAACAAGAATCTCTAAATAGCCTGTGTCGTTCACTTAAACAATTTTGAACAATTGTTGTTATCGAACATACAAGACGATTGTTAAAACTCGTCATTTAGCATGTTTGTGGACAAAAACAACTATAAGAAGTCGGCCAACAATTTCAATAATTACACAAATCTTGTCTTGCTGTCATTTTGCAATTTAAAGTTTCTTTATATCTGTTACAGTTTTTAAAACAATTGGCAATTAAAAATTGAAAAGGGTAAAAATTGATAGGTAAGAACAATTACACCTTTAGGGAGTCGACTGGCTGTTTGGTGTCAATTTAATAATAGGTAGATTTCAAGATTCTGAAAACATCAGTCCATGTCCGATTTCTCTACCTATAGTGGTTTTCAAGATGATACATAAAACTGCATTTTACCCCTATTTCTTTTTTACATAGAAATGGAGAGTTTACCATTTGAAAATTTGAATCATATTTTTTGTTGTAAAGCGTAAATTTTAACCGACCCTCCGTCAATTTATAGATTTAAGTCCAGATATTTTAGAAAGATTTGTTATAAATCTGAGCTGATGATACCCTCGGGGACTGATAGTCCACCAGCAGAGGAATTGACCGTGCTGTAACAAAAAAATGAAAACAGCACGTTATAAATTTCATGAGTCCGAAGCGCTTGTCTGGATTTACCTTCATCAGGAACGCCAAAGCCGAATATTTGAAAGCCACGAATGTATAAGAACCGTAAACATTTGTAGAGCTATATAGAGGTATACTTTAAATATGTTTCTGTTTATATATTTTTTTTTGTAGAATATATATGTACTTGTAATAGGTATTTCAGTATTATCTATACTGAAGGAAAACAGTTTCATTTTATTTAATCAAGTTTTAAAATTGACGTTAATTATATCCTGTCTATATGAGAAAAAAACTTACAATAACAAAAAAGTATTTCAATATATTTCGTTCGCAGAGGAATTTGAAAAAGGATATACTATTAATGTTATGTAAGATAACAGTTAACCGTGCACAGTGAATGGAACTGAGTTAACGAATTAAATTGTGCCTTTCGCTGTTTTTGAAATATTCAAAAGATTTCTAAGATTGACAGAGGAATGTTGAAGTTTCCGTTATTATATTTGCTGTGTATGGTTTTTAATAGAGACAAAAATTAAGATATGTTGCACTATCTCATGATGGTACCATTTAGACTAAGTATGGTTTCAGTATAAACAAGCACTGTTAATTTAGACATTAATGCTGTTTGTCCTTTTGAAAATTTTGTGTTGGTGGAAGAGTCTTTTCTGTCAACATATGATTCCTCCTCCTAACAGTTGTTTATACGAAAATGTTTTATGTGCAATGCTATAATTCAAGTTTCAGGCTAAACAGATATGACCTTTATATCTGTAAGGAACAAAAATTATATAGGAACTTCTGTTCCATGTTTTTTGTCAAATCTATTAAACGCCAGCCTAAACTTTGACCAATTGATGGGATTAAATATGGTATAGAGAATCATATATATAATGTGAATCTAGATGTGTTGATGTGCGTTTGTGGATACAGGAGTGTAAGTATTTTTTGCTGGTATGATCAGAGGTTTACGTATCACCAATAGGATCGGTCGCTACTCACGTGCAACATATTTTCGTTGTATAAGATCTTAAGATATCAGACTACTCGTCTGATCTGTAAGTTAACAATTTCATTACATACATTTTTGTGTAGAACAATTACAGTGAAATTATATTTGTGTAGCAAATGAAGTATTAAAATGTTTTTAAATGTGTTTCAGTTCTTTTTTGGAATTGCCTAGTGTCATACATACACAATACTGTTGGCTGTTTTGTTCATTGAATGTTGGAACTATTGGAAATACCAAGCGGGTTCTGTCTGAATGCATAGACTACCGTAGCAATGTTTGACACAACGTTTTTAAATTATTGGTTTTCCGCTATGCAATGAATTTGGATCTTCAAACGTTTTGATTTAGGCGCCAATAATGAAATTCGATTGCAGATTTTGTGCGCGTCTTGTGGACTTTATCATAATTATATTTGTGCCATAGGAAATATATCATGTTGGAACTCGAAAGCGATCTTGTAAACTTTTAGATAAAGTAATAAAATAGTACAGTCGTGTAAAGCTCTTACTTTTCCCAAGATTTGCTTTTGTTTGGATTTTTTTTGGCTATTCAAATTCCAAGTTTTTTTAAACTTTGTTTCGGATTTTAAAATATGTTGGTCTTGATCATCATGTGCACTGAAGATATATTTATTGTCGAAATGCGCAGGCGGGGAAGAATACATTGTTACCGCTAATGTCATTATAGATTCCGTTATAAAGCAAAGCCAAGTTTACATTTTTGGTCCGTTTTGGTTATATCCTCTTTTTAACGTTTGTATTAGATTGTGAACATCTAAAAACTTCATCCTCGACCAACACTGAAGAGATATTTAATGTCAAAATTCACCATAAAATTGCTACTGTTAATATTATTATCGTAAAACAAAACCGTATGATATGAATATCTATATATGCAATGACCATAAACAACATACAAGGCAGTAAATACAGAGCTGAAAGTATGCATTTAAGGTATGAATTGTTTTGCTACACTTTGCCATATACGTCTTTTATCCACAAGCTCATGCAGGAGATCTTGGAATTCCTAAATATGCATTTAATTTGCCGCTTGAAATTAATTAGCCCTTCGTTGCCATCATGCAAGAAGAATAGCGTTCCTGTCTCTTGAACTGAGAACCAATTGTTGAAAACGAGAAAATAAGATACTGAATATCTGTTTATTAATTTCCAACATCATTGATGAATAATTAAACATGAATTATCGACTTTGTGCATACGGCGTTGACATTTATCAGTTGCTTCAGGATGTTCAATAGTAGTAAAGGATGATATAAAGGTTTTTCGTAAAGATGGTAACATAAACAAATACATGAATTTCTCTTGATACGGTCCGCTCAGTTCTACAGTTTGAATCAACTTTTGTTACATGAACAGATATCTAGTGTCCCTCTAATGTTAATGTCAACAAATACAGTTAACCTAAAGTGTTACATTAAGGGGATTTCTTAAAAGTCTGTTCCAATTTATTTAACTTTGGCATCTTTTTTTGGTAACGAAAAAAATGTATACCAAAATCAAGGAAATATTTGAATTTCTAAAACATGTAAAACTTAAAGTACACTGTCACGCCAGGCCTTAAGAACTTATCAGGTGCACATATTTGCCTGTACTCACATTCAATTTTGCGGCGTAAATTGTTAATAATTATTGGAGACGCCAACACATATATAGTTATCTTTCATTTGAGTCAATAACATACGATCGTTATTATATACCTTTATATTTTTATCAAAGTAAGAGAGAAAATAGTTTATCAATAAACTCAACATAGATACTACGCTTAAAAGTGTGTACACCAGACGCGCGTTTCGTCTACAAACGACTCATCAAAGCTCTCCAATAAATCAAGTCCAAATAAAGTACGAAGTTGAAGAGCATTAAGAATTCCCGGATCCCCGAAAGGTTTGCCAAATACAGCTAAGGTAATCTATTCCTGGGGGTAGAAAATCCTTAGTATTTCGAACAATGATCCTTATAGTATTTTAAGTGTTAATAACATTTAAGTTAAAAATTGTACTGCATTGACAATGTCATTAAATGGGTCAAAGTGTGACTGTATCAAACTAAGATGTAAATAATAACATTGCATGCAATAATTATGGCATTTACCATATTAACACATAAGAAATATTTATTCAGACCAGAATGCTTTGCAATAAGCTTATTCATTTCATTTCTGAACCTTTTTCATTTTTTTCACCCATGAAGTAAAATTTAGTACATGTAATAAAAGGATAAACATAGCGCATATCAAGTTTCATTACTTAAAGTCTCGGAAATGTAATAAAAATCCATATTCTTCCTGTGTGGATGCAGATTAGATTTTTAGTGTATATTTTGCATTTATACTTGTGTGGATGCAGAATTGATGTTTAGTATATATATACATTTAAATATTTACATACTAAATGATTTTACATTATTAGCTAATCTTTCATTTTATTTGTTTGTACTGATTAATACGCACTCAAATATAGGTTTGTATGTAATGTGATGCTATTTATAGGCACATATGTGTATATATATTTTTATAAATGAATAAAAGTGAATACATACCAACATTTAAAGGAAAATCCTATTTATGTCACATTTATTAGATAAAGTGTATGCAGTCAAACCTCTAGGCTATAAGTCACTTAAATCAATATCCATTACCTTTATTTGCAGGAAATTTCAATATCCAAGACACCTTATCGGACATACTAAGTCCTGCAGAGATAAGCGGCTGTCCGCATCTACTCTCTGGAAAAATTGGTTGAATGTGGTCGAATTGTGTTTTTGAATGCATTTCTGATACAATGATACATTTCGAACAAACATATCGCCGTTTTTCATTCGCATTCATTTTTCTTCCTACTTCTTAATATGTTGTGCGCATGCTTTTCATTTTCAGAAAATGAATATGAATTGAAATCGAAAGTCGATTATCTGAATATACAGGTATACTTGATGATTTAGCCGTGATAAATATAAGTCAACAAAGCATATATTTGCTAAATTTCTATTTATGAAATATACCGATTGGAAAGCATTAATATCATGTAGATGAAAAACAAGTTTATATGTATGTCTCGCCATTATTTATTTTATGCAAGAATTCAAATTGAAATAAACGGATAGATGAAAAACGCTAAATATTTAATATATATACAATTTTTTCCTTATCTGCGCAGTATCGCCTATCCTAGACGACCCGGTACATAGTGAATTTGCTGGTTGGTCCTTTTTATAGACTTCTATATATATGTCATAGTAATTGTAACTCCTGATAATGCTTATGAACTATAGTATTCTGCATTCTAAAACAATGTTTGTCTGGAAATTCTATCCTGAACTCGATTAAGGTCCCATTCGGTCAAATCGCGTCCAAAGTTTCTACGTCTTTATACATTTCTGGCTTTCTAACGTTTAGGTTTGAGAGTTTGTGATGAAAGTAGATCCGGAATTGTGGCTCGGGCGCACGAAAATTATAAAGCTTTGTTTTCATCTACAAAAGTTTAACAAAATGATTTAAATATTTGGAGAAAATGAGGTTGAATAAAGATCGTCAGACCATAAAAGCATTTAATGTTTACTAAATATATGTGAACTGATGTTCGTGTTTTATGAATGTCATCGAGTAAATTAGAAAGAATATAATACTTCTGATACCTATATACAATAGACGTACACACAATAAATGATATAACTACTATGCGCATATCAGGTAAATCTAGAATAACCTCATCACATCATTAACTGATCAGAAAAGCTGGTAACCAAAATGTTTGAAAGCCAAAGCGAGGTGCTTTGGAGACCATAAATACGAAAATGGTATTAACATGATTAAGCAAAACAGCTCAAACCGTTCAAGGTGATTTTTCCGGGTCGATTGCATGCTTTTGCAAGCAGTGGACTCTTACACGCTCGACGCAACCGGTTTTGCTATTTTTGGAGTTTATGCGATTCCCTCAGTTTTTTGTTTGTTACCTTGATTTGTATCTTCGATTTACTAGATTTGAACATCGGTAAACTACTTTTCCTCAACATTAGATTAAGTACCACTTAGAACTTACAGAAGCTTCAAATTGATAGAATAAATACATAATTTCTACCATACCAATACCTAAACACATGTCCCTGTCGAGGAAGCACAGAAATAAACACTTCACAAACAGTGCACAGCTTACAAAAGACAGAATAAAATTGTGAATCGTAGCTACAAATTCCCTTTTTTAGGACATGACTTAGTGAATAAACTCATGAACAATAACTGGAAAGTGTTTGATTTTCATATGAAGAAGACATTATCTTTCGACCAATCTAATTGAGGTCTGGAGCTGGCATGTCAGTAACCGCTAGTAGTCCTTTGTTGATTTATGTTTATCATTGTCATTTTCTAGTTTCTTCTGTTACCTATTTTAACATCGGACTCAAACTTCCTTTTAACTGAGTTTTACTGTGCGTATTTATGTGTGTTTGTTTATTCCACATTGGCTAGAGGTATAGGTGGAGGGTTGAAATCTCACAAAACAAGATCAACTCCTCCGCATTTTTGCGCCTGTCCCGAGTTAGGAACCTCGAGCCTTTGTTAGTCTTTGTGTTTTTTTTTTTTATTTTTGTTCATTTGTATGTTTCGGAGTTTAGTGTTGCGGCTATTTTGCTGAACTAGTTTACATTATTATTTTGGGGCCAGCTGAAGCCGCCTTCGGGTGCAAGATTATATAGCTACGTCGAAGACCCATTGGTGGTCGTTGGTTGTTTTCTGCTTTTTGGTCGGGTTGTTGTCTCTTTGACACATTCCTCGTTTGCATTCTCTATTCTATCAATTATTCCAACTACAAATAGACCGAAAAAGATATCATCAAATGCTGTACGTGTTGGGTTAGGTGGGTTGAAACGTTAAGAGACTGTCGGTATTCCAATGAGTTCTAATTGTACCAGCCGACTGGTTTGTGTACTGATACGAAGCAGACTTCATTCAGAACCTTCTCAAAGACACAACGTAAAAAGCCTCTTGCAAACTATTCAATTTCATTTTCATTAACATTGATGATGACCTGCTACGCAATAACCGACATTTCAGTGAGTGTTTGCATTCTTTTATCCAAGTTATCTTGAGTTAAAGGAAACCACAGAAACTATGAGGTATGTTTCTTATATAAAAATTATGTTGATCATTTACTCAATATTGACGACTACAAACTAGAATCTATGACAAACGTTACGATTTCAAATTTCCAAATGTCAACTTCACATTTCTCAGCAGTCTTAGATCTTTAGATACCAGAATAGTCGTCTAAGCTGTAATTGTACCGATTGTGACATTTTCACTTGGTAGGAATTCACATGGAGGTTGACTCATACATAGCAGAAGACGCTTAACTTGTCTCGCTCCTTTTGGAGGTCATGCGATTCCCACAGTTTTAGTTTTTATACTTTGTCTTCTTAATCCATTTGTGAGATTTGAACATCGGTATACTACTGTTACCTTAATTCATTTCTTGATCTTATCCTCGATATTGATAAATAAGGACGACTTCATACTAGAATCTATGACAAATGAGATGATTTCAACTCGCCCGTTTCTCTGCAGTAACTTTCCCTCTGTCTGCCGTATGGCGTTCACACATGTCAAATCAAATACAAAGTCGAAAAGCATGGATACTAAAATTCAAAAATTTGTTACATAAACGAATCCTGTCCAAAATGCATGACAATACGATTTTTCATTGTTTGTGAAGTATACCCTACAAATATGTTCGAGAGAAATATTTTTTGAAATAACCTTCTGGTTCATATTTACTAGTCAATGAATTCTGGATTTAAACGATATATAAGAGTATTTAATAACATTACCGGTACCAATTTTACTGCACCAAACGGGCGTTTCGACACTTGCAGCTTTTTCGATGATGCTTGAGGCCCACTTATTTTACAATCCAAAAAGCTAATTAAACATTTTTTTCAAATCTGGTCTAGTATTTTAATTTATGTTTAGACATATCCCTTGCAATACATTTAAAAGTGGTCAGACGTTTCGATTGTTGCCAATATAGAGATCTCTTCTTTTAATATTCAGTAGCTGTTATTTACCTTTGAATAACACATGCAGAATTGTTTAAAAATATGACTAAACAGTTAAGGATTAGCCTGCATGAAAATAGCCATTACATTGCCCAATTTATTGCCACGATAGGATAGTTTAGATGATGTTAGGATTACAATGTTGTTTCAGGCTAAACGAAAAGGATTGATTATGGCATTTTTGGGCCCCTTGAATTTAAAATTCAGAAAGTTGTATAAATCTACCAAAGTATATACTTCAAATGTTCATAAGATATTAGTCTGTCGGATTTCGGTATTTACATTTTAAAAAAGTACCTTACATATATTCTTTGGGTCTTCAAACTTCTTGCATCTCAAGCATCAAAGTTCTAGAGATCATTCATTTTTGCATTGTGAACTTTAAAATACACATTGCATCGTTTTAAGAAAAAAAGCACTTTTAGGCAATATTTTGGACTGAATTTCTTCTTGATATTTCACTTTAAGTTTATTTTTCTGAAAAGTGTTTACCTTTTTGATGTCATGCCATAATTGTCGGTTAAATATATGCAGTACAGGCTTCATAAAATGATATGGCAAACTCAGTATTATTTTGAAATTATAGGTTGTGGACAGAAAAGCAAACAGATGCATTTCTCTTTTTGTACCAACTAATTGTTAAGAACATATTGCATATATTAGACATATATAATGTCATATTAAAGTCTTCCATTGACAAAACAATGAAATATATATATAACAAGAATCCATGTACTGAAAATTATAAAAAGGTCAAACAATTCATTTCAGCTTATAAAATGCTTCACACATCACACATTACAGGACAAAATGAAAACAAAATGATATTTTCAAACAACTTTCAATTCCCAATAGCCACTACTTCATCAAATATTGTTCAGCAGGAACAATCTTCTACTTTTTATGACATGTAATACCACCAAATCATAGTAAGTCACATCCGGTTTCATACAAAAAAGGGTCGAAAAAAAAATATTCCCTTGAATTTGACAATTGTTGGAAGTTAACCCTGCATTTCATTGCAGAAAAAAATTCATAAACATATAGCTTGGGTGCTTCAAAGTACTATTCTTTTTTTATTTGGTGTTTCAATAAAATATTTTGGAAACTTGAGGTTACATGGTTACTAAAGCGTGTAGACAGGGAAAAAAGGGGTGAAAATTTGATTGGTTAACTTCCAGTGATGGTTATTTTCTTATATGCAATGAAATGTTATGTGAAATTTTGTCTGTAGTACTGGACAGGATCAAACTTTACTCATGCTAAGTATTTCTTTATTTGACAAATTCTGCACAATTTTTTGAAAAGTGCCAATTTAACAAAGGCTAACAGGGGAAAATCAATGGTGGTATTGTTACTCCTTATACCAAATACAAAACCAATAGAGAACATGTTACAGATTTAAGACAATCAGACCAGCAAACAGATAAAAGGAGGAATACAAAGCCTCTTCATCGTTAGAAGTAATGGCCTTATTATAAAATCTATCATTTTTGACCAAAAATCTATTTATCATGTTTATTAAGGTCGGAAATTGTTTATTGATGTTTAAAGGTCTGGTTATTTTGTCAATATTCACATAAAAGAGGACTCTGCATTTAGTAATTCTAATTCCAAAAACTCTTTGAAAAGAATAAATAAACTTGTCATTGCTGTCATTTTCTAGAAAGAAAATATGACATCTATGGTAAAAACATTTATTATTTAGATTTATATGGAAGGAACAGGATGAAGTCAAGGTCACTTGAATGTAAATGAAAAGAAAAAAATTGTGAATAATTTTCTTCAAAACATCCCTAAAGAGCAAAACAAGTAATGATAAATCCATTTAAACAACACAATATTAATTGATTGATTGATTGATTATTAGAATTAAACGTCACACTTTCAGCGCTATTGGCTATATCATGCTGGTCAGACATTATTCGTAGAGGAAGCCTGGTTGCCTAGATATCAATGATGATCTGCATGAAAACTGACAATCCTATTCAATTCAGATTGGAGTCAAACCCATGCATCTATCATGATGAGGCTTGGTTTGGATCTTTAGAAGAAATTTTGCTCGAATCTCTGTAGATGTCATCTTACATTATACTAGATTTTTCTCAAACTATTGAACTGAATATGACAAAACTTGACAGGAATGCTTGAAATAACCAGTATTACAAAGGAAAAAAGTCACATTCAGTTTATTCAACACAAAAGTCTTCTGGGAAGCTGTACATGCACCTTTGACCTTGTGCGTACTCTCATGTGTTAAAATTTCTTGCTATTTAAGTGAAATATTATAAATAAACTGCTTCGCTGAGCGCAGCTGGATACGCCTGTAGAGGTCCAACCCTGAACAGTTGGGGCAAAAATGGACACAATATTCAAGCTTGATACAGGTCTGAATTTGGATTATAATTAAATATTTGACATATTATAGGTTTCTGAATAAATGTAGTCAAAGAACTTGAAATTGGTTATATGAATTGAATTTATATTAAATCAAAGATTTCTTACTGTTGTGCAATACACTGTGCTGTTGCGATATACTTAGTAAATCTGTTGTCAGACTATAAACAAATAAAGTTCAATTAGTTCTCAATGTCATATTAGAAATTTATGAAAATGTAAAGGGAGCTTACATCAATAGATATAAACAATTCACCAAAGTTTCATGAGAATTGCTGCCAGCATTTTTGAGTTATTGTCCGAAAACTGGAAAATCCCCCCTTTTTTAATGAATAAAACCCCATAACTCAGAAATGAAAAATTTATAAAATTCTAAACAGAGCTTACATCAATAGATATAAACAATTCACCAAAGTTTCATAAGAACTGCTAAAAGCATTTTTGAGTTATTGTCTGAAAACTGGAAAATCCCCATTTTTTTATGAATAAAACCCTGTAACTTGGAAACGTATAATCTAAAATATATGAAAATCCAAAGGGAGCTCATGTCAATAGATATAAACAATTCACCACAATTTCTTGCAAGTTGGTGAAAGCATTCTCGAGTTATTGTCAGAAAACTGGAAAATCCCCCTTTTTTTAATGAATAAAACCCCAAAATTCTAAAACGTAAAATCTAAAATTAATACACGAGGCTCTCAAGAGCCTGAATCGCTCACCTGTATTTCAGAGGAGAAGATTTTTAAATGTTAGCAAACTTGATGAACAAATTGTGTAAAATTGTCTTTAAAGGGCAATAACTCCTTAAGGGGTCAATTAACAATTTTGGTCATATTAACTTTTTTGTAGATCTTACTTTGCTGAACATTATTGCTGCTTACAGTTTATATATATCTATAATAATATTCAAAATAATAACAAAAAACTGCAAAATTTTGTTAAAACTACCAATTGGGTGGCAGCAACCCAACAATGGGTTGTTCGATTCGTCTGATAATTTCAGGGCCAATAGATCTTGACCAATTAAACAATTTTACCCCATGTCACATTTGCTCTAAAAGATTTAGTTTTTGAGATATAAGCCAAAAACTGCATTTGACCCTTATGTTCTATTTTTAGCCATGTCGGCCATGTTTGTCGATGGATACAAACTTCGGATACAATTTATAAACAAGATACCCTAAGAAACATTTAATCAAAGTTTGAAGGTAATTGGCCCAGTAGTTTCAGAGGAGAAGATTTTTAAATGTTAGCAAACTTGATGAACAAATTGTGTAAAATTGTCTTTAAAGGGCAATAACTCCTTAAGGGGTCAATTGACAATTATGGTCAGATTAATTTTTTTGTAGATCTTATTTTGCTGAACATTATTGCTGCTTACAGTTTATATATATCTATAATAATATTCAAAATAATAACAAAAAACTGCAAAATTTTGTTAAAACTACCAATTCGGTGGCAGCAACCCAACAATGGGTTGTTCGATTCGTCTGATAATTTCAGGGCCAATAGATCTTGACCAATTAAACAATTTTACCCCATGTCACATTTGCTCTAAAAAATTTAGTTTTTGAGATATAAGCCAAAAACTCCTTTTGACCCTTATGTTCTATTTTTAGCCATGTCGGCCATGTTTGTCAATGGATCAAAACTTGGGATACAATTTATAAACAAGATACCCTAAGGAATATTTGTTAAAGTTTGAAGGTTATTGGCAAAGTAGTTTCAGAGGAGAAGATTTTTAAATGTTAGCAAACTTGATGAACAAATTGTGTAAAATTGTCTTTAAAGGGCAATAACTCCTTAAGGGGTCAATTGACAATTATGGTCATACTATTTTTTTTATAGATCTTACTTTGCTGAACATTATTGCTGCTTACAGTTTATATATATCTATAATAATATTCAAAATAATAACAAAAAACTGCAAAATTTTGTTAAAACTACCAATTAGGTGGCAGCAACCCAACAATGGGTTGTTCGATTTGTCTGAAAATTTCAGAGCTGATAGATCTTGACCAATTGAACAATTTTACCCCTGTCACATTTGCTCTAAAAGCTTTAGTTTTTGAGATATAAGCCAAAAACTGCATTTGACCCCTATGTTCTATTTTTAGCCATGGCTGCCATGTTTGTCGATGGATCAAAACTTTGGATACAATTTATAAACTAGATACCCTTAGAAACATTTAGTTAAAGTTTGAAGGTATTTGGCCCAGTAGTTTCAGAGGAGAAGATTTTTTAAATAGTTTACGACGACAGACAACGACGACAGACGACGGATGCCAAGTTATGGCATAAGCTCACATGGGGCCCTCCTGACCCCGATGAGCTAAAAAAAATGAAAGGGAGCTCATGTCAATAGATATAAACAATTCACCAAAGTTTTATGCAAATTGGTTAAAGCTTTTTTGAGTTAATATTCGACATGTTGACGACGGACAGACAGACGGACAATGGTATACCATAATACGTCCCGTAAACGGGCGTATAAAAATGAAATATTCTGAGTGGATTGAGTCTCCAAAACACATTTTATGAGAAAATTTTCTTGAAATAGGACTCTACCATGAATATTAGTTGAAAGAACAAGCCATACTTATTGTTTTGGGGAGCTTTTTCTCCTGATTTCTTATATTCTGCTATAATAGAAAATTTTTCCTAAGAAATACTTTAATAAATATATAGTTATAAGTAAATGAAATTATTTTTACAGCAGTAACAACAAATTATTCACTGGAAGAGAAGCTTTTTATGTCCCTCTCTGGAACGCAGCGTAAATTAAAGTTTTACGCAAGGACCTCCTAAATATAAAAGCAGATGATAAATATTGTAACATCAATACTTAAATAAAACAACTTTTTTTCTAGACAACATTTAAATATTGATAAATGTGTACAGATTATGTATGGTATAAAAATATAGATATAGGGAACATGTCAATGATACAGCAACCCAAGGACACATAAATAAAACAACATCTAGAAGTAAAAATATGGTCTTCAACAATAATATAAGATAAACTATATTGACAAATCAAACTCTGCTGATCAAATAAAAAGGTTTCATATGAAATACAGTTTGGCATTTGTTTTGTTTATTTGTCAGATGAATAGTTATATCTTTCAGTTATAGTAACTGAGATCTAAAATTTAGAAATTTATAATTTTGATAAATTTTGTTTTACGGATTTCAATTTGTTTCATATATTCACAAGGATACCTCAAATAAATGCCACTTAAATAATTCTGATTAAACTGGTATGTGAGCATACTAAGTGGACTGTTCTGAAGAAAACAATCTCATTAAACTTAAATTTGTATTCTGAATAAATTGTTTGGCAGATGCTCACGAGACCTGTCGATCTAAAAGCAGAATCAGGAGACATGAATTTAAAATGAACTTACAATGGAATTCTTGTTGAAATGAAAATAAATGGGAAAAATGAATCCATATTAGATTTTAAGAATAATTTTGTTCCATTTATATAGAAATAAGATGTGGTATGAGTGCCAATGAGACAACTCTCCATCAAAGTCACAATGTGTAAAAAGTAAACATATTATAGGTCGAAATACGATCTTCGACACAGAGCCTTGGCTCACACCGAACAGGAAGCTATAAAGGGCCCCAAAATGACTAGTGTGAAACAATTAATAAATGGCTGTTAATAAATTCTGACTTAATTTCACATAGTTTTACAAAATCAATATAGAAAAGTTCAAGACTGGTTTTTATTACTCACCAGCATTTGATCATATCCAATATATTTTGGATAGACATATCTTAATACAAAAAAAGCTTATTGGACAAACTTTCATTCTTTATATTATTATTAGAAAGGACAACCGAATGACTAGAACACATTCAAAAATTCTAATATAGATATATATGTTCTGTTTGTTATCTGAATTCTTATTCATCAATGCCATGGAAACTAGATCAGAAATGAAAATTAGTTTAAAGCATGAGGTAAAATAAATGACTAACTCTCTCCCACCTTTGATGATTATAATTTGCAACAAATTCCTTGTCTAACAGATGAGTTTAATAATTCAAGAAATCTAACACTTGAATTGAAGAAACATAAATAAGTATTTCTATATACTAGTTTATATGTAAAAGTTAAAAAAACGAGGTACGTAATGAAGTAATCCAATATCTTGATCTTTCTCTTTAAATGATATACTGTAGATTCATTTATTTTCGTGGATATCAATTTTCGTGGGTATCAATTTTCGTTGATTGAGGAACACTTCCATTTTCATGGATATCTGATTTCGTGGTTTCACCAATCACTGCATACAAAGCCTAAAGAAAATATTTAATCGTTGAACATTTGAATTCGCGGTTCACCTGTATCCACGAAACCCACGAAAATTGGTATCCAACGAATAATAATGAATCCACAGTATGTCAAGTTTCAGTATCATTATTTCCTCTTGAATGTAACCAGATATTCTGGAAAAGCTTGTGAATCATGAAAAATCACAAACATAATTGGACTGCTCACATTATTAGTAACTGTGTCATATAAAATATGGCTTCCAGCAGCATTTGGTTTGGCAGGTGGTACTTTCATGGTACTGGCTCCATTGCAATACTCTCCTGTCAGAACTCTACACAAAAACATTCTTTTATGTCCATGTGTATCAGGCCTTGAATATGTGTCTTGAATTGAATAATTGACATTTACTGCAAAATATACACCAGCACCTAAAGCAGTAGCTGAAAAAACAAAATGTCAAAAAAGATATAGGTATTCATTACAAGACAAGAGAGGACTGAAACTACACACATACTCACACACAAACAAATATACAAGTCAACAAACAGTTTTCAACGACAAACAAGATTCATATGTTCAGCTATACACCTTCTTACTCAGAATCTGACATTAATAGCAAATCTCAAAAGAAAAGAAAATAGATATACAAACATTATATATAATAGCTTATCAGAAATTTGTAAATTTTCCCTTTGATCTTACTGCTTTTTATTTTTCTGTATCATAGACAGGACCTGATACTCCATAATATTAGGCAATGATGTCATGTCACAATGCAGCAACTTGATGTGTTCATGTCCCTCCGAATTGATTTATAGATAAAATGCATGCAACTTCATTTATACAACCAAACAACTACTGTAAATTCAGAAATTATTGCGATGTTTTTATTATTGCGAAAAATGCGACAGGGTTATAATCGCAATAATTTAAACTCGCATTTTGAAATTTTTTATATGAATTAAACAGGATTTTTCTCAATATTGCAAAAATTAAAATCGCATTTTAGTCTAAAATGACAAAATCGCAATAATAAATGCACGCAATAATTTCCGAATTTACAGTATCACAACGTTTTGTACATATACACATTTTTTTATACTGACTTCATCAATTCAAATATGTTCATATGATATTCTCTGACAGATAAAGTCAGTATCATTCTAGGTACTGACGTTGTTTATCATACACATCTAAATCATGTGTTACAGTGTTCTTTTATTTGTCTTTTAAAATTATTTACCATTACGGTTTAGTTCATTTTTGGAAATATCCCTTTGGCGTGCGTACAGTATACATCGCGTCATTGTGTTATTGTACTATGGTAAACTTTTGTATTCTTGTCTCTCAGTTTTGCTTATTTCTATATGCCATTTTGTTTTTCTTTGCTGAAATACCTGGTTTTGTAGTGATTAAGATTATAACACAATGTTGACTGCCGAACCCCTATTTTTGACATTTTTGCCTATTATGTCTGTTTGTTTTGTTCCCACAATCTTGTCACTATAATGGAATTATATGGAACTGTCATACAAGTGAGAGGTTATACCAGCTATAAAACCAGGTTTAGTCCAGCATTTTCTATAAAAGAAAATGCCTGTACCAAGTCAGGAATATGAGTTGTTTTCTATTGGTTTGATGTGTTTGAGCTTTTAATTTTGTCATTTGATAAGGGACCTTCCGTTTTGATTTTTTTTTTTTATTTTACTTTTTTTCAAAAACAACAATGCCGTTATTCTTCATGTATTGAGTTGAAAAATTTAAGATAACAAGATATGGGTTAAAAATGGGGACAGCGTGAATGTAATCTATACTCAGCATTTTCTCTGTTTCTGTGCTGAATCCTTATTTTTTATTATTATAAGTGAATACACTATTGTTGTCTTTATGCTGCAATTAATTTACTGTGACAGTATAAATTTTCATGATTTGAGCAAAATTTAAATGTTCATGGGTTTTTAAATTCATGGATTTTAGTTTTCTGGAAAAATAGAGTGAATATAATTTGAAGCCATTTGAAAATTATCATATGCTGCTTTGTTAATGATTTGTGGGACATTGCAAAATAAGGTGTTCATTTAATTTCCTCTTTTTATGTTTATCTCCACTTACTGTGTTCATCTTTTATTACCAACAATATTAATTGTATTATGTTTTCAGAAATAAACTGATTCATCTATGCTTACAAAATGTCTTGATTGAAGGAAATTGCAAAGTAAAACATTTTAGGTGTTGCACACATGTAATCAGAAGAAGTGTTGACATCATTTAACCATTAAAGATCATCAAAGGTGTTAATTGAGCCATAAACATGTCATTTAAAGATAATGGTAACATAAAAAAAGAATGCTACAAATGTACTTTAAATTATGAATTAGACTATTATGAGGAGATAAAATGAACACTACAACACCAATGTCTTTGATGGAAGTCTAATTTTTCATGAAAATTAAAAGGTTTAAAGTCATACAGTTTAGATTTTCAAAGATTAAATGGGTAAATTCTATCAGAACTTGTACATATAGGTGATAGTGCTTTTGCTATTATTTGATGTATTCTCTAGATCAATGTAGTCAAATTAACCTACATGGGGAGCTTTCCCCGTCTTGATTTGGACAACAGATGTTATATTTCATTGGACACTTAAATTCGTGGATAAAAACATCTGCAAAAATTGGTACCCCAAAAATAAAAGTACTTTCACAGTCTAACAATTTTATATTCATTTAGTGTTTGGTTTTTTTTTAAACTTCTTGTAAATGTTTACCTTTTAGAAGGTCTCTTATTTTGGCAAATTAAAAAATAAGTGGTCTGCATATGAAAGTGCAGAGCTTTAAATGATAAAGGTGCTTATAAAATGGGAATCTGGTACTTTCCAATATGAAAAAATGGAGACAAATTTTTAATTTAAAAAATACCCACCCCCACCTCAAATGAATTGCCAACGACGCCATTCCAACAAACAAACAACACAGTTTTTTAACTACTTTATTTAATTTCATTTTATTCTCCAGGAAATATATTGTAAGAGAAAATTATGTATCTTGTCCAAAATAAAGTATTCAGTACACAGATTACAGTTATTTTGCAATCCATATCTCCTTTTTTGGCCCCAATTCATTGCACTATCAATATAAGACAGAATGTTAAAGACAATGCATACCTGAAACTAATATTATCTGAATTTTTGAAAAATTTTAATAGATGCCTTAAATCTATAAATTGCATACCATTTTTTCCACAGTAACTCCTGTTAAATCCATATTTGCATATACTATCAAGAGCATCTACTGAAAAACCATGCCAAAGAGCTTTTTCATTCTGGACTGTCTTAGGATTAGTATCATCCATAGACTTCTTCTTGGCAATAAATTGTTGGTACAGTACTTTGTTTTGGATTCTCTCAACCTAAAATATTAGCAAAATACAGACTGATTCTATAAACAGAGAGAGAGAAAAAAAAGCAGTTTCCTTAAACTATTATTTTTTGCATGGTAGGGGGACAATTTACTGCTTACAGTTATTGCATATTTGAATGTTTATTTATGTTCCATCAACATACAATTACATGTAAGTTTTGTCTGCTTAAAATAAATCAATATGTTCAATGATCAATCAGCATAAAAAAAGCAGCTGATATTACCTGAATTCTGCTAGGTTTATCAATGCCAGACTGTTATAGGGGAATGTGTCAAATCATAAATGTTAGCAGTGCACAGTGAAGGCAGAAAGCATATTTACAATCCTTTTAGAAAGATTTCCACTGCATGTTTACTATTATAGTGCTGCCTATAATTTCTATACATATTTATTGTAACTTCCTTTGAACAAGAATGTGTCCATAGTACATGGATGCCCCACTATAGCAATATTATTTTCTATGGTCAGTGGACCTTGAAATTAGGGTAAGAACTCTAATTTGGCATTAAAATTAGAAAGATCATATCATAGGGAACATTTGTACTAAAGATTCAAGTTGACTAGACTTCAACTTCATCAAAAACTACCTTGACCAAAATCTTTAACCTCAAGCGGGCACTATCTATGTTCAGTGAACCGTGAAATTGGGGTCAAAACTCTAATTTGGCATTAAAATTAGAAAGATCATATCATAGGAAACATGTGTACTAAGTTTCAATATGATTGGACTTCAACTTCATCAAAAACTACCTTGACCAATAACTTTAACCTGATGCAGGACAGAGTTGGAGGCACAAACGAACTAACGAACCGACGAATGAACAGACATACAGACAGAAAAACATAATGCCCAAACTTTATTATAGATACCCTAAGGATCATTCCGCTTAAATTTGTTTGGAATTGGTTCAGTAGTTTCAGAGGAGAAGATGTTTGAAAAAGTTAACACTGGACGGACGAAGACTACAATAGCGACAACAGACTGCAACGGATGACTACGGACGACAAGTGATGGCAAAAGCTCACATTTCCTTTGGAAAGGTGAGCTAAAAATCAAATTTTACCTCCATTTCAGGATAGATAATAATGTTGCAGTGTTGTAAAGGTGATATTCCAAAGTGAACATAAAATATCATACATAAAGTATCATTTGGAAACTATTTTACCATTAAGAGGGCATTAAAATTGCATGACTCTTTGCTACTTTATTTTTTTTCAGGAACAATAATGGGAAATTCTAATCAATTTTTTTTTAAAACATTCAGGTTTTTCTGTTTTTACACCCTTTACATCTCAGATAATGCCAAAACTACAGCAAAAAAACCCTAAAAGATATTGCCAAAGAAGCTTAATTACAAAAAATTTAATGCAGAAACTTATTTAAATCAGACATAAAACAAAATAATTTTTTAAAGTATTCAAAAACAAGAATGTGTCCATAGTACAAGGATGCCCCACTCCCACTATCATTTTCTATGTTCAGTGGACTGTGAATTTGGGATGAACGAACGAACAGACAGACGAACGAAGGAACGGTGCAACAGACAGACACACAGACCGAAAAACATAATGCCCCTAAGTGAGGCATAAAAAAATGTTTTTAATTTTTGCAAACTCTTTCTATTCTACCATGTAACATCTCTAATGTCAGTAAATGTTTTACAATGAAAGACACTTCAACACATTTCAAACATGTGTAAATGCTCTTAAACTCACCTTTACAAATTCTACTTTTGTCCCACCAGCTGTACTCTGAAATTTACTAGTAACATCTTGGTATTCTTTGTCTTTAGGTTGTAATTGCACTATTTTCAAATTCTCTTTTTCATCCATGGGAACCCATGTCATTGGTGGTTCAAATGCTTGATCTAAAGAAAGAAATAACTCAACATGCTAGTATATATTGCATGTTTAAAAAATCAGAGATATTATATATTTAGATCTTTGGTAATGTCAAGGTAACAGTAGTTTTTAAAATTAATGAGAAAATTACAAACACTAATCTACAAACAAAATAATTGTAGTTTTCGATAAATATATTCCATACATTGAAAATGAAATACATTTTTCAAATTTCCACTTCTTCAAAGTTTGTTTCTTTATGAATGAAATAGAAACTAGGTTAAATTGGTCTGTTTGTTTGAGCCAAAAATGAGAAATGTAACACATTAGATTTTCTGAAATTGTGAACTTAAAAATGACCATGATCTGACATAATTTTTGTTTACCTTTACCTTTAGCTTTAATTTTGATACTATTTTCCCCAAAGGGTACATAGAAAATACTGTTGTAAAAATCTCAAGCACAAAGTACATTTGCAATTATTGTTGAGTAAAATGCAATTCAATTGCAATCATAAACAAGTCGAGTGACAGCAAACCAGATTTTCCTGCAGTGGTCGAACCCTGAACAGTTGAATAAGTATGGACACAACATTTAAGCTTAAAACAGCTCTGAATTTGGATTGTGATTGAATATTTAAAATAGATTATTATCTAATTAATAATGAAAATAATATTTGCAAATCTGAACCCCAAACAGGATCATGTAAAAATAAAACATTAACACACACAACAAAAATAAAATACCACAAAACAACTGACATCTACCTTCATAACACATATGACTTAAAAAAATAGTTATAAAGAAATTTTTATGTTATCATTACTGGTTCATGGTATAAGTTTGAGTTATTTCCCTTAAGCTTTGAACAAAAATATGGTTTAACTAATAGATATGATTTAATCACTAAACATAGTTCTCTAAAATTAGATATGATGTAACACAATGTATATCTATTTACAAATTATAATCAAATATAATAAATATATAATTAATAGTTCCAAATATTTTTCTTTCATTTGTCCAAACTAATATAGATCTGCAACTTATCTATCAATGTCAACTTTATCTACACAATGTAATGTACTGAAATATATCCTTTAATAAAAATAGATTATTATCTAATTAAAGGAATTCACTTCATAAATTTTTTTTCGTCAAAGCGTTTTCATGTTAATGAACAGACACTGTTTGGCAGCCGCCCGCCGTACATCCCCAAATCAATAACCGATTTTTCCTTCGAAAATCGGGTTAATAAAACTGTATTCTACTTTCTCATGTGTAAATTAATAAGATGTAGAAATTTTTTTGGGAAATTCTAAAGGATTTACACATTTATTTCACAAATAAATGAGACACATTTAAACTTTAAGCACATATTTTGACACATAAAACGAAAAGTTATCCAAACAAGAATGCATCCAGTGTCTTGCTAAGCATACTCAAACTGGTATTTAAAAGTATCTGTTAACAGGTATTATCGGATTCTGACAGATAAAAATAAATGGAGAATGTGTCCATAAGGACACAGATGATCCAGGGCTTACATATAGTTGTAAAGGGACATAACTACAGATCTGTAAAAGTGACGCCACACAAATTCGAACCAGATCTATGTTTTATTGTTATAAACATTGTGTATAAGTTTTATCACATTTGGTTGATGTAAACTAAAGTTAGAGAACAGAAACCAATTTTGGGACATAAGTACATACGGATGTACAGACATACGGACAGACATGGTTAACTTTAAAAGCCCACTTTGCTGCGGTGGGGGCATAAAAACCAATATACAAACAGAAATTAGGTTTCCAACAGATCAAAAAAGTGATTACAGCTTACAGTTCATCACTGGCCAAAGATGAATGGTTCTGTTCGTCAGTTCTTTTTCAGAAAATTGTGAGGAAGATAAAATGTTCAGACAAGGTGAATGCAATTTATATCCACTACTCATTGAGAGGGGTATAATTTGACATAATATTGATAACAGGTAATTTTATATTTTAGCTTAGATCTGCATTATTATGAAGCATACTTCTTACCTACAAGTTTAGATTTTCTCAATACTTGAACTTTATCATTAACATTATCAGCTGGATATTCCTCATAGGCATTCAGATCTACAATGTATTTATTTCCATTTGTATCAGAAAAAGATGCCTGTGTTTTCTGATCTTTCAGTGCTGATTCCAGTATCAGATTTACATCTGAAGGATATTCCACAAGCTTTTTCTTCCCCTTGTCTTCTTCCATGTAGTACCACTGTACCATGTCTGTGACCAACTTGGCCTTCTGCATGGTTTGCTTGGCCGTTTCTGCATCTCTGATAATATGATGTACTTCATTAAATGCATCAGATATATGATGTTTCAACCCTCTGATCTTTATTTCACCTTTGGATGTATCTAATGTAACCTTTATCTTTCCAGAAGCTTCTAAATTCTTTACTTCAGATTTCTGCAAATAAAAACACATTATGAATGCATGTATACTCCATGCAGGTTTATGAATTTTTGTCAAATGTTCGGACTACTTGAGTTCCATAACCTATCAATATTTTTAGCTTATTTTGTTCCTGAACTAATGCTCATCTGACTTGAAATATCAATTTTAAATTCTAGATTTAATTAATTACACCTAAGTACATCCTTAAGCTTTATATTCAGCATACCCAAAATTAATTTGGGTTATAGAGCTTTGTGTTTTTCTTCTGTTTTTGTGCTTTGTAGTGATCTGATGTATGAAGTCGTTTTCAACTGACTTTTATACTTTGTTCTCATATTGTGCTATTATACAACTGACCTAGATTAGGTCGGGGGTTTAGAAGTCCACAAACATGTTTAACCCTGTCACATTCTGTATGTATCTGTCCCAAGTCAGGTGCCTGTAATTCAGTGGTTGCCATTTGTTGCTGTCAATATAATATTTGTTTTTCCATTGTTGTTTTTCTGGTTTTAACTAATTTACACATTATTTTCATGTCAGGGCCATTTATAGCTTTCTATGCAGTATGGGTTTTGCATATTCCTAAAGGATGTCCAGTGATCTATAATCGGCTGCATCTGTGTAATTTGGTCTCTGGTGGATAGTTGTTTCATTGGCAATTATACCACATCTCCTTATTTCATATCAATGTGTCTTACTGTCTGTTAACCCACAGAAAAAATCATAAAAAATGCTCAAACTATATATGCTAAATATGAAGTGATCAACTTAAATTATCAATTTACTAATTCCTTCATATGGGATACTTCTAAGATAAGTTACGATGGAGGATGGACACATGATTTATAATAACTTATGCTTCTGTTACCTGATCAGCATTAAATTCTTTTATTATCTTTGAAAATATTGATTTTTCATCACATTCACTTTCAATAGATTTCTCCAGTAACTTGACGGCATTCTGAGCTGCATGTTTGTCTCTTGCATAGATCACAAATGTCACAGAATTCATTATCACTCTATCAACTGGTGTCTGTGCACCAATAAGTTTACGGTCATGTCTAGATATATTAAACTTCTTGTCTCCTGTTTGAATAATAAAAGTAATATTAGAAAATCAAAAACTATTTTTTAACATTTAAACCAAATAAATGTACAATTTTTTAATGGATGGAGTAAGTGATGGAAAGATAGAGGCACATACCAGAAAACACTCTTTTTATCACTTAGTCTCGTAAGGGGAGATTACTCAAATAATTTTATTTTATAAAGGAAAATACAAAAAAGAAAGATTTATTTTTCTTAGTTCTGAAAAGGCATTTTATGAGTATGCCCTGTATAATTCCTACAAAATTTTTCATTTTAACTAAATAAGGTAAAGTATGAAAAAATTCTGTCAATTATCTTGTTTACCCCAATGCTACTTTTAACATTCAATTTACTAGTTTATTCAAACTCTGTTTTACACTAGTCATTTTGAGGCCCTTTATAGCTAGCCATGTTGAAGGCCGTACTTTGACCTATAATTTTTTACTTTTTACACATTGTGACTTTGATGGAGAGTTGTCTCATTGGCACTCATACCATATCTTCTTACTTATGATAGTGTAATTAACACAATAGACTTCCACATATCATGTAAGCTGCATATTTCTCTACTTTTACCTTACTTTTATTAGTATTATCAATGGCTTTGATAGATTAGTGGCAAATCAGGTGAGTATCATGAGATTTAGAATAGTTGCAAGGCATTAAGCCATGTTATTGCAATATTCATAGAAATTATCATTCATTCAGCTCTATTCTGTAGAAATAACAATTACCCCCAGTAAGTCCTGTCCAACCAAACCATTTTTCTATGTAGCCTTTTTCTTTAGTATTACTGACACACTTCTGGATGGCAGCCATGAAATCTTTCATCATATCTCCTTGGAAAATAACTACATGTACCTGTTGTACATGTTTGCTTTTGCTCTGGAATTTTTCTACCACTTTGAACATGTCTTCTGCTATATCACTAACAGGTACATTGGCAGTCACAGATGTACCTAGAAACACATCAATTATTTCAAATTATTCTCAAATGTTTTGCCCATGTGATATTAAGAATACCACTTTTTTAAATCAAATGTCTGCTAATAGCAATAAACGAGGGTCTGGATAGGGGGTCCTCCATTTTTTTTTTTTTTTGATAATTTTTTTAATAATTTTTTCTCTATTCTTTATATCAAAGCACCCTTTTATTCTCTACTCTTTATTTTTTGGATCCAAAATCACAATTAAAATCACAAAATTTTCACTAAAATTTTTTCTTCTTAGGGAAAGTTAAGTGCTATGCTAATTACTCCCCTTTCCTTTATCATATAGTCGTACACTGTTGTTGTTGACAAAGTCGCTTTAGACAACATTTTCATTTGCCTTAGGAGTGCCAAATGGCACAAAAACGTTAGCAGTCATTATGTGATTTTTATTGTGATTTTGAATGTATTACTAAATGTAGTCTATTGCACATTTGTTTTTTTTTTAATTTATACATATATTTATAATTCATCAAATAACTAGAGATTACTATGTATAAAAACAAAATATTTGAGAATGTGATTTACATACTAGTTATGAATTGTAATTAGTTTCTGATTCCTTACCTAAAGCAGGGAATGCAACAGTGGTCATCTTTATTTCTTCAGCTTTATCAAGGGCTAGTTTGATTCTGTCTTTTAGTTTAGGACCACTAGAGAATGCTGCAGATACATAACCTGATGGGTTCACTCCTGTCATGTCAAGATGTATCACAGCTTCACACAACATTCCATGTGTGTGTTTTGTTACAGCTATTCCATTCTTTGACATTTGTTTTTCTGAAATGAATTTAGTTTTAGTTTTATTAACTGGATCTAATGGTGAAAGCAATATTTTTATTGTAGCTACATATGTACAGAGTACTGAACTGAAAAGAAGTATATATTTTCCCATAATATAACACCAAATGACACTATATATGCCTTTGAGTTATATAGAAGACATTTTTACTATTCTAAATATAGAATACAGTTTATGATTAAAAGTATGGTAATCAAATTAGAGGTCAATGAGAGTCAAGCTATTATGCAGGTTCTGGTGGTGATGTTTTAGGCCAACTCTTATGTACTGCCAATAAAATAATATTTACCCAGACATTTGTAGTTTTTACTTACTTTTTTAATTTAAGAAATAACTGTAATATTTTTTCTGTCTATGAAGAATTAACATCAAAAATGTGGTGCACACTGAATAATCCATGTAGCGAGTTATTTTAAAGTGTGTACCACATTTTTTATGTTATTACAAATAGACAGAAAAATATTAAAGTCATTCCTAATAATTAAATGCTAAATTCCATTTTCAGCCGGAGTAAATCGTGAAAAAACATTGATGACGTCACAGTCACATGACAAAATTATGTCTATGAGCTGATAGACAAAACACTGTCAGCCAATCAGAAGACGTGTTACATCCAAAATTAAATTATATATATATATTTGTATATTTATGCTATTTTTGAGAAATCATAATTTTTAACAATTGAAATTATTATTAAGTAGTCTTTTTTTTAACACTGCATAATTAAACTACTATATATATAGATAATATTACTTTGATCCTTTAGTTGTTTTTCTAGTTCTTGTCCTCCTTTATTCTTTATAGCTCGGGCCACAGCACCTTAAATTAATATAAACAATAAAATAACATATCTACCAGGAAGTCATCTTGGTTAACAGTTACAACTTAACATTTACAAATTTTTCTGCATACAAGTTTGAATCTAATTTGATGATCAACAGCTATTTCAAATCATAAGCTGTTCAAAAAAATAACTTCAGTGGAAATGAGATTTATAGTGCATTTACACGCTCATTAATTGGTTTATGGAGTAGCTATTATTGTCCTTTTGACATAAAGTCACATAAAGTCATGACCAGCCTTCTGCTGAACTGTCTACTTTTACTCACAAATGAAGGTCTCATGGTGAACTAAGTTGCTTATGTCCATGTCAATAGGACTCTGGTGAATAGTTGTCTCATATATATGAAGTTTATAATGTTAACAGATTTATAGAACACTTATTAAGTAACTGTGTAATATTTAACACTTCATATATATACTTAAGATGCCAAATATGTTTGATGGTAAAACAAGTTTTATTTATTACGGTTATATACCTTAAATCAAATTAAATTGTTATTGATATCTAATTCAGTTTTCCAGTTTTCTGTATTAAGTGTGAAATTTTTTACCAATGGTTAAATCTAACTCTGTGTTTGTTCCATTTACAATGGCATCCACTTTGACAGCAGTTATGTCCCCTTGGTAGACTTTGAGCACTACGTTTCCCATATTGACACTGTACTCTTTGTCTGCAGCTGAACTGTACTGGTTCCCTGGTGGAGTCAGTTTCTGATGCTTTTTGTCAGGTCCTTTCTTTGCACTGTTAGCTGAAATAAAGCAAATGCTTATTATTGATATATTAAAGGTATAAGGTGGGTTTTCTTGTAAATTTATTAATTACAAACACATTTTGTTCCTGTAACAAGTCAGTTTATCAGGAGAATTTAAGTGTTGGTAACTTTAAATCTTTTTCAAATGATCTGGTGTTTGATGTGAACTGTATAACATCCCTGTCAAATGAATTTTTTTTGGCAATTATTTCTGTTCTGAAATCAGATTTCATGTTAACATGATACAAAGTCATGTTTTTTCGAAATCATTGCTCATCACCAATTACATGCTACATTAGTTATTTTTTTAAATCATGATTGAATTTATGTTTGGATTACTGCGCTGGTGTTATTTAAGTGTTTTTTTACAAGGTGATTATTATTAAATGGTTTTTGTATGCAAGTAATCTGAATTTGTATTGGTGAAAATACTTTCTGCAAAATTTGTGAATTTACACAGAAAAAGTAAGTACACCAGACACCAGACTCCCTACTTGACATGTCAGCTAGGTCAGTCAAGTTAACTAAAACCAAGATGTGGTATGATTGTCAAGAAAAGCAATTATAGACTAGAGACCAAATCAAGTGGAAATAAGCAACTAAAGGTCACCCAACAATCTTCATTGGTGAGCAAAACACACACCATATAGTATTAAAGCTATAAAAGACCCTGACATCACAAAATTTAAAATAATTCAAACTAAAAAAAAGGAACAGCCTAAATCATGATATGACAATACACAAAAAACAACATACAGAAACTAATGACTACAACTGAATCAAATGCTTGAGACAGGAACATATAGAATATGATGGGGTTAAACCATGAAGATCATATGCTGTAAAAAAAACACAAAATAAAAAACATACATGCAGTCATGCTACCAACATAATGACCACTAACTTAAATTGATCAGGGAACTAAATATAAATAGCAGGGCACATCTGTAATTTTGAAAGCAAGGACAAGTGTAAATCACTATAGGAAGCTAGCTAATGAAGCCACAGATGAAGCTTGAATATATTGTTCAAGAAAATTTAATCTCCTAATAAAATTTAACACCTCAATTTGTGCTCATCAAAAATAGCTGTCTTTAAGCATTTACATATTATACCACTATCCCTTTTCATTCATTTGAAAACATAGCAAAATAAGAAAACAACTTTCTAATTCATTTAATAAGAAAAAAATCAACAATATGATAATTTAATAATAGAAAGCCCTGTAATAGAATAATCTAGTCCTTTTTTTCAATATGCAAACCAAATGTTTTTGGATTGCAATTAAGTTTTTAAGGTTATTTTACTGAAATTAATTACTGAAACATAATTCCTTCGACTGTCTTTTTGAACCAGTAGGATCAATTATGCCGATTGTTTGATTCCAGATGTTAGAGTGATAATTTAAATTTATTTCCTAATTTTATTTCTTGAATTTCAAAAGGGGACCTCGGTGGCTGAGTGGTTCAAATAGTTCATCTACTTTATCACTAAAACTAGGATTATGAGTTCAATCCCACATGGCATTGTGTTCAGCTCCAATCTTAATTGACCACTATTTCCATTTTCCGACCAAAGGTTGCAGCTATCAATGCAAATAAGCAATATAGCTTCCTCCACCAATAAAAAATGACCAACATGATATAGACAATAGTGCTGAAAGTGGTGTTGAACACCAAAAATCAATCAATCAGTCAGTCTCTTCAGTGTTGGTCAGTAAAGTAACTGTTTCCAGGGTCATAAAATGTAAATCAGGAATTGTAAATGCAATTTTCTTAAACTGCGGTTATCATAATATGTTTAAATAAAAAGAGCCCCACTACTTTAAAAAATGTGTAAAAATTAATGCCACTTTAAAAGAACATACAGACCAAAAATGTTCATACACAATAGTCATATACTGAACATGTTCATATAAATTCATCTAAATACAAATCAAAGCTACATTAACAAAAATTCCACATTATTTTTAAAATCAATACATAATATGTTTTACTTAAAGGTTCAATACATGTATATTAAAGTCATCATTTATAAACCAATCTTACTACAAATAAACATAAATATCACAGATTATTTGTTTTTCTTTGTCTTAAGATTGATCCCTATGTATGCAGAAACATGTTTCATAGCTTGAAATACCATTTTTGCCAAGTTTGTTTTAGAATAGATGTTTTTCAATTAAATTTCAAATGTTAAAGGACTTTGTAAGTTAATCAAAATAATATTTATAACAGACAAAATTATGTTTTTCCGAAGTAATAAACATATATAGAACTCAAAAATATGTTACTGAATATGATACAATATGTTTTATGTGCTTTCAATTTCATAATTATTATTTTTATTTTGCTAAATTTCCCTTAAGGATACACTCACTGGAAACAAGACCTTATGAATGATAATATATACTTGTAATCATTATATAATTATGAATTTAACACTTTATTTTAGATTCAAAATGATTTAAGTAACCTAAGTTTGTTTACACTAATCTATAAATTCAATGTAAAAACTTGCTAAAATCATTTTAAGATCACTTATTTCCTAATTTGCCAACTTTAATGCTTTTAATAAATAGAATGCGATTTAATCTTAAAAATCGTGCATCACAATGTTCACATATACTAGCTAACCTCCTATGATTTTCATAGTTCTAAAATTGTATACCCTTTTATCAAACAAAATCGCACAGCAAAATAAAAGAGGTTATATAATCATGTTTCATCATAATTCTTCAGATTTTTACTAATTCAAGTATTGATTAATGCCGAACAACCAGAAAAAATGTAGGTTGCATACTCACATCATGCTAATTTCATTTTCAAATATTTAAAACAAAATGGTCCATATCACTTATGATTTATCTGAACATTGTCTACATGCAATTTCATCTTTCTCACAAAGCATCTGCTTGCAATACGGACAAACAGTCAAGACGAAAGTTTTCTGTGGCAACATGATTGAAGGTGAATCTTGATAAAGCGGAAAAGGTTTCATCTGTGATTGGTATAAGCATTGTACAAAGTGAGATCTTAATGTTCTTGTATCCCAGATAAGTTTTGAAGGATCTGTTCCATAGGCAATTGCTACCATAGAAGCTACGGCAAATAATCCACAGTCAACATTATTTCGCTGTCGCTGAAATGGACACATATCCACCGAAACTTGACCATTACTATCTCTATCCACGATAGCAAAGATGGCTCTTTTAGTATCAATTTGCAGATGTCTTTTCCAGCTATCAAATACTCTGACAGTATTAGGGGGACAACGTATATTAGATAGTGTTACCCAATGTCGACCACTGACATTAATAATTTGTATAAATTGGCCTTTTGGTTTTTTAAATCCTTCGGCTAAAGCTACAGTGACTGGCTGAAGTCCATCAATATTTGGATGGTTATTTTTAATCAATTGCATGGCCAATTCTACCTCAATGTCTTCTATCCAATAGTCGGGTTTATTTATTTTCTCCCATGTTTTAATGCTATACTGAGATTTAGATTTAGATATAGATGTATATGCTGGCATTGAAATAACTGGAGCAGACTGCATACGCTTCATCTGAGGTCTTTTTTGTCCTGAAGCAAATGCACATTTCATTTGTGAAAGTTCATCTGATTTAACTCTGTTCAACACATTTGTCTTTCTTTGCCATCTGTCATATTCATTTTCTTTTGGAATATGCCTATCCATCCTGTCTCTTTCGACATCCACAAGCAAAGTCTTAATCCTCGATGTGGTACGGGGGGTCCTTTCTTCTTCTTCCAAATCAAACACAGGCCTTCTAAACATTGGTGCTGTAGCATTATTTACTTCTGAATCTGCTAAATATGGACTATAATCCTCATCATCTAAATTATACCTTTGTTGAGGATTGGGTTGAAAATCTTCCCACATATCCATAGAGGAACCTAAAACAATATAAAAACAAATGCTCAATTAAAAAATACCCTTTCATAAATCTATTTCTCAAATTTCTATTCAAATTTGCAAAGTGATTTTGAATATTGTCAAAACAGAAAAAGAATGAGCATTTGTTTTTATATTTCTGCACAAAGCAAGACATAAAGGTGCAGTGATTTTGAATATTATTTAGTTGTGAAATAAGTATATCAAATTTGAACCATTGAAGTAAGACATGAGGCATTATTTCCTCAAAATATCAGTAAACTCATGGATGCCATAGATTTACTGGGACATACTCATCACTGCTGGAAGTAACAGAAAATCATGCTTTAAATAACAGAAGGAACTTGCTAAAGCTTAAGTTTTTAAGTACATGCCCATTTAAGAATCATGCAATAAGGGGGATTTGTGGGTCAAAGCCTAATATTAATTTTTTTCTGATATCTTATTAAAGAAATGAATTCATGCATTATTTTCCATTTTAACCTTTACCATGTGAAATAATTATCCGGTAGAATGCACTATTAAACTCATACAGAAGCAGATAACTCTGTATGCAAAATGTATGTCATGGTATTGCAGTAAAGGATAATTATTTTTCAATCCATTAATCTACACTCATATTTCAACTGAGTATAATAAATTGAATGTATTCCTGTTAAGGTTCTCCCAAGATTATAGAGCTATATTTCAACAGAAAATTGCACTTGTTCATTAATCAATTGATCTTAATCTATGCCATATCTCTTAATTGACTGATTGGTGGTTAATGCCACTTTCAACACTATTGTGGTATTTCATCGCGGTCAGTTTTTATTGGTGGAGGAAGCCGTCAACCTTCTAGATTTAATTGAACCTTTTTAAAACAACACAATGAAGTTAGTTGAATTTTATGTACACTTTTTGGTATTATAGCATTGTTACATACAAGTTATAATATATTATACTATGTTCAATTGTTTCAATTGTTTAACACAGTTTACTGATGCTACAAACTAGTTTAGTAATGCTACAAAATAAATTCAGTGTTCTAAGTTAGATGTATCAAACTATCAATGTTTCTGACCTCTGCCTTGATATCCTGTAGGTTTATCTGTAAAGTCCCTGTCATGTCTACCATGATGACTGCCTTGTCTACTTTTATCCTCATCTTCAAATGCCTACAATATTAATTAGCCAACATCATTTAAGGAAGAGTCAATACTTCCAACAATTCAAATAAACTAGTGGTTCATAAGTGTTTCTCGTTTCTTGTTTTTTTTTATATAGATTAGACCGTTGGTTTTCCCGACTGAATGGTTTTACACTAGTAATTTTTTGGGGCCCTTTATAGCTTGCTGTTCGGTGTGAGCCAAGGCTCCGTGTTGAAGACCGTATTTTGACCTATAATGGTTTACTTTTATAAATTGTGACTTGGATGGAGAATTGTCTCATTGGCACTCAAACCACATCTTCCTATATCTATAGACTATACAGAATTGTGAATAACTTTGACTTTGACCTTAGATTTAATGACCCTAAAATCAATAGGACATTTTTCTTAATATCAAAGTGATGTTGCAATCCAACATAGTATTCAATTTAGCATCCTGAAACCATTTTTTTCCCAACAATGTTGATCTCTTTTTGGGTACTTTGACTTTGACCTTAGACATGTTGACCTAAAAATCAACATGCATTTTCCACTCATTGCATGTGACTATAAATCTATGTCTGATGTAAAAGTTTCTTACATACTACAACTCAACCCTATCAAGCTTCAGACCAAATATATTATCATTTCCTTCAATAGAAGCTAATTAGAAAAGTCTGACAAAAGTTTTCTACCCAAAGAATAGACAGAGTTTAGCCATTGGCAATGCATGTATAAAAACATGTATTGTATTATTTTTTTTTTTTGCAAACTAATAGTCCATGTGCCAATTAATGATTTGATTCTGTTATTACACATTTTTTAAACAAATTACTTCCCTTTGTCAACCGTAGACTGGTTCTATACTGGACAAAATTGGCTTTTACCCACACAAAGCATGATAAATTTAAAGTGATATATCGGTATTTGAACCAATATATAGTGAAAAGTAACTTGTGGTATCTAAAGTATATATCTTAACAACAAACTAAATGTATTTAAAAGATTTGAAAAATTTAAAGGTTACACACATTACGCACAGATGAATTTACTCTTTCCGCTAGCTCTCCATTGTCAATATAAATGAATGTCCCTCTATTTGTAAGGGTTCAGCGGAACTCAGTGTCTCGCCTACTTTTGCTGTTGTCTTTGGGGAAAAAAATTATTAAAAATTTTCCTCTAGATACTATCTTTTGATTGTTAGAAGCTTCTGTCCAAGTTCGGTAAAAATACAGGATGGTTAATGAATCTAGTAAATGTTTTAAAAACTTTAACTGCAGACTGTATGTAATGTTAATTGGAAGAAAAACTAAGTTCATATACAAGTAATATACGTATAAACACGAAATAGATTCTTACAAAATTTCCTTCTAGATACTAGCTTTTGATCATAAACAAGCTTCTGTCCAAGTTTGGTACAAATCCAGGATAGTTTAAGAAAGTTATTAAATTTTTTAAAACTTTAACCACAGAGTGAATGTAATGTTAACTGGCAGAAAAACTAAGTCCATTTATAAGTATAAAATATTTTTTAAATTTACTTCTGGATACTATCATAAACATTGAGCTTCTGTCCAAGTTTGGTAGAATCCAAGGATATTTCAAGAAAGTTATTAAAATTTCAAAAACTTTAACCACAGAGTGAATATTTGTGGACAACACTGACAACGGAATGTAGGATCGCTATGTATTGCTTTTGCGACAAAAGTCTTAGACTCAACAAAAAGGGATCACTAATAACTGGGTTAATTTTGGGAATTTGCAAACCAACTATTATGAATAAAAAGTCTTTTTTTAAAACATATTGTACAAGTATCAAATATTCTAACTTGACATGGAACTGGTTTTTTTTTAATCATGTTATTTTAAATCAACAACTATTCTGTTTGAACATCTACCTATGAAATGAACATTTCTATTTTACAAAAATATTGCTTTCTATTCTTTAGACTTTTTTTATTTGATCTATTTTAAGTAAACTATACCTTGACTGTTTGATCATCTTTATCATACAGAACAAACAAGACTTTGGTAATACAGGAGCTTGGGTTCTGACTGGAATACTGATGTACCGCGTCATACATATGTTTGGCTACAAGACCTCGTGGATATCCAAGTTTTCCTGTACCCATGGCAGGCATGGCTACAGATTTACATCCTTTGCCTTCAGCTTTAGAGAGGCAACCATTAATGAACTTTTCCAGAACCTATAAGTATCAACATACTAAATTGTGTATTGTATTGATTATCTGATTTGCTACACAATGATATTGTTAAATATCAGCTGTGAGCCAAGATGTGAACCTTTAAATAAGCAAAGAATGAGTTATAATTCTCCATTTTTTCAGTATTGTGTATACCTTTTAAAACATTTGGTTGAGGCAAACTTAAAGTTCAAGAACGGAAACGAAAAACTCGGCAATTTTTCCATTGTAAAGGGGCATAACCAAGAGTCCTTAAACTGTCATATTTGCCAGTCATGTCCTTAAACTGAAAGAATTTGTCCTAAACGAGTAATTGGGATTTAGGACAAATTTTATTTTTTAACAGAAATAATTTCGGTCATTTGGTTGAGATCGAGTTTCTAATTCGTCATTTTGAACTTGTTTTTGTTTTGTTATCCCTTTCCTGTAATAAAACTGCCACTGCAGTATATTGTTATAATCCTGAGGGCCCTCCTAATAACTATATTAATGCCTCGGAGAAATATTGGCTAATGATCGCTAATCTCTTTACCTGTGTTTTTCATTCACACCTGGCTATTGATCAGAACTAACATTATAAAGAAATTAAAATTCCATGACAACTGTCTTAATTATTTAATTACTTTTCAGCTAAGAAAATTGTCAATTCTGATTTAAAATTAAATTAAAACTTGATTTTATTTACATAGAAAGAAGTATTTTTCACTATCACACACATGCTTTGTTTACTATGTAATACGCATGCTTGAAATTCTCTTCTGCAGAGTAGACACTTAATCGTAAATTTAAAATGATTTCATGCTAAATAAAGCAAATGCAACTATTATCATTAATATTCAAACACTATCAAAGGTAAAAAAAAGCAAAAAGCCGATGATTTCCTGTGAATTTGATAAACAAAACTAATCCCGGAAATGAGTCCAGAATTGTTCGTTTTAGTATTGTCGCAAAACATTCGGTTTTAATTTTGTCTTGAAAATCGAAAGAAACGTTAGCGATGTCTGAGAAAATTATCGTTTTGAGTCAGTTACCTTCCCTTAATTGCTCATGAACGATTTTAGGAAAATGGTAGGAAAATTCATGAAGTAAATGCGATGCAACAGTTAAACAAGTTCATTGATGCTACGAGTAACAGCATACTCAGTATTGACAGTAATGTTATTTTGACAATCTTTTTTTGAAAAAAGGCACCAACTTTTAAGTTATCTCAAAATGACCGAAGTTAGGTGAAAAAATTTCCATATCCTTGGGCATAACTCTAGAACAGTAAAACAGATGCTACCAATAATGGTAATAAACAATGTGAATAAGTTTCATAACATTTGGTTGAAGCAAATTTAAGAAAGAGAATGGAAACAAATTATTAAATTTGTTAACAAGCATAACTCTAGAACGGTTAAAGTGGCCCCACCAAATTTCAACCTTCATCTGTATTTTGTGGTAATAAGCATGTATTGTGAATAAGTTTCATAACATTTGGTTGAGGCAAACTTAAGTTAGAGAAAAGAAACAAAAAATTCAGCAAGTTTTCCATTTGTAAAGGGGCATAACTGTAGAACAGTTAAAGTGATGTGACCGATGTGTTTTTTTTTGTAATAAGCTTTGTGTATAAGTTTCATAACTTTTGGTTTAGGCAAACTTAAGATAGAGAAGGGAAACAAACGTAGGGATGTATGGATGTATAAAACTTAATGCAACCTTTGCCTCAGTGTGGGCATAAAAATTTAAATAAGGATATAAATTTTACCTTAATACCACCTGTATTCCATTGGTCTAAACATCCATGACAAACAATATTACAATTTAAGTTTCCACCTGTTGTTACAGCTACTTCTCCGTAGTCAACACCTTGAGGATATTTCTTGGAACATTCATCTTGTAACCTTCGACCTCCTTCTCTTAGTAGGGAAGCTGAAACTGCACCTTGATTCAACTGCAGTCCCTTAGATGTGGTATTCACAATAGCATCAACCTAAAGAATGACAAAAATACCTTTAGATGTCTTTCTATCAAATACTTCAAAATAGTTTTTTGTTCATTGACTATTTTCATTGATGTAAATATGAATTAACTTAATATCAATAAAACATCAAGTAAAAAACAACTAAAAAAATAAAGATGCCAACATCTAATTTTAAAGTATAAACTGCTGTCCATACAATATGTAAAGCTGTTAATTGTCTTATTACAAATGTTTATGTTTTATGCATATGCAGTTTTCCCTAATTCGGAAATTGTGTCATTTATATTCTCATGCAATTGATGTGCTTGTCGAAATCAGGTTCCCAGCAACACAAAACTGTAATGAAGATTTGTACAGACATACCACTACTAAAATTTGCTCACCCTCATTTTTGCTAACTCTCCTTTAACAACCTTGATCTCTATACTTCCTGCTGAGATAGGACCAGAATGTCCTGGTGACATTCCACCTGTTAAAAGAAATAACATTATTTAGCACCATGTATACTATTGAAAAAGTCAAACATTTTTTTGGTTCATTTAACATCTGATATAAAAAAAAAATAAAGTAAAGGCAAAATGGAGGCAGCATCCACTGCCCTTTCTTAAAGCAATATAAGCCATCAAAATCGCAATTTTTTTAAAATGCTATAAAAGAGGTGAAATGAAAAATGATTAGTGAATTAAAAGGTTTACATAAAATTTCACGTCCTAAAAATCCTTAAGGTTACTGTTAAGCTGCTAACTAAACAATTCTGTTCATTAGTACCAGAGGAAAGTGGGACAATATTATTTATTTGACAAATGAACAGAAGGAGAAATGGAAGACAAAATCAAGAGTTGTTTCCCTTTTATTGCTATTTTTGAGGTCTATGTGCACCAATTTCTTCAAAATCAGCCATGTCCAACTTATGCAAAGGGTTTTTTTAGAAATGTTTTAGTTTCTTTAAGCTTTGCTGAATTGATCACTATAATATAGCAAAGATCTCTTATCAGACTTGTTTGCACAACATGTTTGACTTTGGTTAAATAGTCAAACAAAACAAATCAACTATTTCCACCTCCGAAATGCCTTCCAAGGGAAATAACTCAAACAAAAATAACTTCATATCTAAACCATATAAAAGTTACCTGATTGTCTTCCACCAAACTTTCGTTTCCCATCTTTTGCCTGATCAAACATCTTGTCCCCAGCCTTCACAAACAGATCTACAGAATTCTCATTGACATCACATAGGTAAACAGTCTGAACAAGGCTCGACTTATTCCTCTTGAAATAGTCCCTAACTGCCTGGGCAATAGCTCTAGTTGCCAGGTGTGGAGGGTAACCAAATATTCCTGTACACAATGCTGGTATGGCAATGCTGGTATGTTTATTTTTCTGTGTGTCAACTAAGGCAGTTTCAACACACTGTTGTAGTGAGTCTTCCTCATTGTTAGAACCGCTTTGCCACACTGGTCCAACAGCATGGACAATCATCTTACAGCTCAACATGCCTGGTTTTGAACAGTAACATTCACCCTCTGTTAACTGGCCATTATAACTTGTGAACTGGTCACATTCATCTTGAATGCTCTTGCCACCTATAAAATGGCCACTTTTAATAAAAACTGCATTATATAATTTATGAGAACACTTTAGATTTCATGAAGTTTGACAGAATATACAGAAAAATCTATAAGATATCATAGAATAATTTATCATACATTTTAATTCATTCAAACATGAATGAAATAAGGTAATAGGAACTTTGAATATTCTGCTTAGTATCTAAGCTTTTAAAAATGTTTAAGAAATTTCTCTAACAATCTAACCGAGAAGGACTTTTATGTAAATATTTGCTGCTAAAAGCATGAAAAGATTTCATATTTGTATTATCTGAAGGTAATCCTGAAAAAGGTAAATCCAGAAAAGCACTACAGACAAATTTACAAAGTATTATATAAGTAGAATTATTTTAATGCAATCAGCTCTCTCTTCTAGGATAATAACATTTAATTTCCCTTTATTAAATGAGGATCCAGGATTTTGAAAATGTGTGGGGGGGGGGGGGGGGGGGGGGGAGGGGGCAGACAGGCAACCCACTAAATCTTAATTTTTTTTATTTTAACAATTTCAAGGGGCACTAGCTGTCAAATTCATGTTCACCAATTTGACTCAAATTCTCATATCTGATTTATAACAATGTAATTAAATATTTACCCAAATTATAAAAAACCTAAAATAATCAATTTAAAGAGCATGGGATCGATAATATGTAGCTTCGTTTCGTGTGTATTTTAGTCTAGACCAAGGCTTCCAAAACGGTCATATATGCCGGACATTTGTATAATGTCCGGTAAATGTCCAGCTGGGCAAAGCATGAAACGGTCATCTACTTTTTAGTTTTCAAGGCTTTCTTGCTTAAGAGACGGTCATTTTAACATAATTCGCAATCTTTTTGACCCAACATTTTGCCTTTAACAGCCACACATTTCCGGTCATAAAAGTGACATGATCATTAAGTACTATCAAAACAACCCCTACTTTAATACCTTCTCATTTTAATCAAGGCTAATTAGTTGTTGAACAGCTGAAATTTACCTGTTCAGGTGACGAGTAAACTATTTTGAACCGGACATTGATCGGTCTATTCAAAGTTATTTTCTTATATTTCAGCGTTTTGCTTCTAATTAATTTAGCCAAAAAGATTTAAATTATCAGAAATAGGTTAACAAAAATAATTTGATGAAAAAATTTAAAAGGTGAAAATGAAAAATCCTCATAACCACGTTGTTTGAACCAGAGACATGTGCGCAGGTGTGAAATTTAATTATGCATCCTTATTTCTTCAAAAAATGCTTAAATTGTCATTGATACCTTTATCTCACGTTTATTTCGAATATTTTCTTGAAGAAATAACGTAGATAGAGCTACTTACACACATTCATGCTTTGCAAACGTACACGGAATTTACGTATCCGTCTCTGGTCCATGTTTTACCATTGTCAAGATAACATCCGCTTTAGATTTAAAAACGAAAGTTTTTGACAACGTTATTTTGCACAAATAAAGAGTCTAAGGCAGATATAAGTACGCTGATGTTGCACACTTCAAATGATGCACTGCCAATTTAACAGTTTACGTCAGGACTTCAAATTTGAATCAAAGAAAGTTTAATATCGTTTTTTTTGGTCAATCATTGTGATGGCCAACTCGGCAACTGATTACCATTATTGCCTTTTGTTAATTTTGTCTTAAGGGATTAAAATCGGGATAATATATAAAATGTCCGGCTGGCTAAAAATAATTTTGGAAGCCCTGGTCTAGACGCCATCTAATTAACTATCGAGTCCCAATACCTCCGATGGCCATATAAGCAATATAAACATAAATATAGATATAAATAGAAACCGGACTTGTGCAATTGGATTTTTCTAGGTCTGTTTAATTTCATATTATAGATTAAAAATATATGTTAATCATCGTTTTTACCTGTATAAGAATGATGTTTTGTGGATTGAATCAGTCAATCAAATGATTTACCTTTGTTTCACTTTCAATGTTGACATTCTTTTCCTTTAAATAACTCAGCACGCACGATTCATGCGTTTTCCATCTCTAGCTAAGGGGTTAAATTGGAGTTCACAGGAATACAGATTCAATGAGGTCAAATTATTCACTTGCAAGTGAATAATTCATCATCAATGTTTCTTAGCTTATTTTGACAAAATTGAACCATACTGGCTGCTAAAAGCGCATGTTTGTTTCACTATTTCACTTTTATTAATGATTGAACAAAAAAAATCATATTTTATATTTTTAATATATCTCGTAGCTAGTGCCCCTTTAACATAAATCTAACAATACTGATGCAAACTCATTGTTAATCCACATTCCACTCATAACATATTAAAAGGATATTACAAAATTTAAATACATACCCCTTTGTACCAGAACTTTAGCCAGACCGCCACTGTGAGCCAAATCTTTATTAGCTGCATTGACAATAACATCAACATGCAGTCCAGTAATGTCCCCCTTGACAACAATGACCTCTTGACCTCCAGCTGCAGAGTATACTGCTCTCTCATCAGAACTAGCACCTTGTCTAGGTCTAATTTGACCTGATGAACTTTCACCTTCATCACTATCACTACTGATAACAACACCCGCCTGTTTGCTAACTTGTTTCAGTTTTGTCTTTCCTTGGTTACTATTCATTAATTCCTGTAAACCTGGTTTGTCCATAGAATGCTTGGTTTTATATATTTTCTGTACTAATGCCTCTATTTCATGTTCAGCATCATTAATTCCCTGGGGATTGCCTTTAATCAGAATGCCATCACCCTTCACAGCCACAATAATTTTTTGTTTACGTAAACCTTTCTCAAGATCATCCACTTCATCCTTCATTTGTTCCTGAAGGAACTTCAACTGAGCTGGTGGCAAGTTGATTGTTATTTCCTTTTCAGAATTATCCAGGAAATAATCTTGTATTTTCTCTCTTATCATTCCTGCTTCTCCTTTTGAAGTACAATACAGGATTATCTGCCCTTGCTTGTCCTCTATAATTTCTGTAATAATTGATTTTCTCTCATACTCATCGCGTATTGCCTGAATATATTGAGCCCATTTAGGAGACCGCATTACAGACTTTTGTAGATTGTCAACGTGGACCTGGGTCTCCACTACACAATCTTTTAAGATCATAGAAGCTGCTACAGCATCTGCATCAGACATGGAATACATTGTTATTGTGTTACCTTGGATATCCCAAACTCCAATCAGGCCTTTATCCTTTATCTTTTTCCCAACATATTTCTTTACTTCCTGTCTCTGCAAAAACTGTATATAAGCTTGTGATTTTGTCCCAATAGATGCTGATGTTATGTCATTCAGTGTTTCAAACATCATTATTTTGGCTCCACTGATATTTCCAGATAGCCCATTAAATGATATAACCAGCTTTTTTGTGTCTATTTTTACATCCATTTTCTCAAACTTTTGTTTGACCTTGTCTTTGAAGTGTGTATAAACCAGAATCAACAACTGGTGATGCTTTAGTTTAGTATCTTCTTGAATTGATTGTTTCTTTCTGTCAAGGTCTGCAGAAACTTCATCTATTATTTGTTTCATTTTATCTGAAACTTCTTTCACTGGAAGAGTATAACCAGCAATAATGATTTCACAAACAGGTGGTTTCTCAACACTAAGAGTAACACCATCAGGATCTGAAATATTAATTTCCCGAAGTTTTTCCATCACAGGACCCCAAGCATCTTGTAATGTTGAATGCTTCTCTGTAACCAGTGCATCAACAAAACCACTTATATTTTTCCTGATTTCTTCACCCCAAGACTTTGCCAGTTTCCGGCAATCTTTTGTTTCCTTGGTCAAAGCACAATCAATAGTTATTTCACTTTCTTGAGTTGAAGATGGCCATGTAATTTGTGCATAGATTTCCTGAAGCTCTTTTTCCATAGCATCTCTCTTTGTAGTTGAATGCTTCAAGAAGTTAATCTTATATTTGTCAATGTCAGTAATAACTAAAGATGGCAATGGTTTGAACTTTGGTCCTTCATTATCTGCTGGGACACCAAGACAATCATAGAAGACCTGCACCTTGAGTTTACAGTTGTCAATGGTATGGGATCTTTTACAAGCCAATAATGCATCTACAATGCAAGATTAAAGAAATAATAAGAAAGATATCTCACAACAATTTTGAATTCAGAGATAGAAAATGATGCATCAAGTCATAGACTTATGTTTCTAAATTCCAAAATCGACAACAAGTACACCAATAGTAATTAAAAATATTTTAAAATCAATAAGTGTCTACTACTATCACATGCTAAGACAAGAGTGCACACGCTGAAATGTCTTGCCTTCTTTACTAACCATTGATATTATGTTGATAGTCCTAAATATAAAGCTTTACTATAACTATCACATAAACTTAACATGATCCAAGAAAATGAGGTCAAAGTCATATAAATCAAACGAGAAATACATGTACACCTTACAATCGTTCAATACAGCAAATATAGTTGACCTATTGCTAATAGTTTCTAAGAAACAGGCTTAACCAAGAAAACTAAACATTGACCAATGAACCATGAAAATGAGGTCAAGGTCAGATGAACCATGCCAGGCAGACATGTTCAGCTTACAATCCTTCCACACAACAAATATAGTTGAATTATTGCTTATAGTTTAAGAAAAACAGACCAAAACACAAAAACTTAACAATGAGCAATGAACTGTGAAAATGAGGTCAAGGTCAAATAAAACCTGTGAAACTGACATGAGCATCATAAAATATTTCTATACACCAAATATAGTTGACCTATTGCATATAGTATTAGAAAAAAAGACCAAAACTCAAAAACTTAACTTTGACCACTGAACCATGAAAATAAGGTCAAGGTCAGATGACACCTGCCAGTTGGACATGTACACCTTACAATCATTCCATACACCAAATATAGTAGACCTATTGCATACAGTATAAGAAAAAAAACCCAAAACATAAAAACTTAACTATAACCACTGAACCATGAAAATGAGGTCAAGGTCAGATGACACCGGCCAGTTGGACATGTACACTTTACAATCCTTCCATACACCAAATATACTAGATATATTGCTTATAGTATCTGAGATATGGACTTGACCACCAAAACTTAACCTTGTTCACTGATCCATGAAACGAGGTCGAGGTCAAGTGAAAACTGTCTGACGGGCATGAGGACCTTGCAAGGTACGCACATACCAAATATAGTTATCCTATTACTCATAATAAGAGAGAAATTAACATTACAAAAAATCTTTTTTTTCAAGTAGTCACTGAACCATGAAAATGAGGTCAAGGACAATGGACATGGGACAGACGGAAACTTCGTAACATAAGGCATCTATATACAAAGTATGAAGCATCCAGGTCTTCTACCTTCTAAAATATAAAGCTTTTAAGAAGTTAGTTAACCCAGTTGCCACCGTCGGATCACTATCCCTATGTCAAGCTTTCTGCAACCAAAGTCGCAGGCTCAACAAAAACAAGCTTGTAAGCAAAAAAAAAAAAGGAAAAGCATTTTAGCAGAATTGTTGTAAGCCAAATATTAACCATAATATTTTATCTTTACAGAACATAACTCAGAGGTTTTTGTACTGCTATAACATCACTATGACTATGATGTCATACCTATACAGGTTACAGTAAATTGGTTATGTCACTGATTTTGCTTAAATTTTGCATACCGTACCATTTTGGCTTGAACTATAACTGAAAATTGAAAAATATCGCATTTATCTCTTTGATCATCCGAAATATTACTGATTGAATTCTTTCAAAATAGGTAAACCTGTGTATAGAAAGCACATAAAATCGGCAAAAACCCTCTTAAATTGGTGTTATAATCATCAAACTTCTAATTTCTAATACATAGGTTTTTCTCATAAAACTATATGTTGTTAATACATAAATTTCCGTTTTAATGATCTAAAATAATGATATGATTTTAAGAACAAAGGTTGTTTGCCGATATTATGTGCCTATTCTGTAACTTAAGAAATATGACCTTCAATTGAACATTCATAATGAGGGTCCATTATGGTATCCCCCTTAGGTTGCAAGGTCACTTTTTAAAATGCCTCAGGTCACCAGGTCACTTTTAAGCAAATTGAAGGAGTCTTTTAACATCTTTAAGTAAGGTTTTGAACATTTTTAAATACCACAAGTAAAGTTTTGAACAATTTTACATACCACAGGTAATTTTAAAAAGATTTCAGGTCACAGGTTGGATTTGGTCATGTTGGTGTCCCTTAATGAAGACAAATTGTATTAAAGGTTTACTTAAAAACCTGTAGCAATAGAAAAAAATCCCTGTTTCTATATCTACCTACATATTTAGCATAAATGGGTCTATTGATAAGAAAAACTTGACTCAGCATCTATAGGTTTGCATCAATATATATAAAAAAAAATCTACCTTCACCATTTTCAAAGTATATAACACAGTAATCCTCATCTCTATTCATTTTGACATCAGCAACACCCTCTACACCAGATTTCCTTTTATTATCAAAGTAATATTCCAGTCCACTTTCTGTTGTCTTCTCACTGAATCCTCGGACTACAATACAATTTGTCACAACCACAGGGTGAACTGTCAGGTAGCTTCCATTTAATGCCTTCTTCTTACATGCTGTCTGAATATCTCCAATATCTGGAGAAAAATCAAAAATATCATTAATTAAAAATATGCATTGCCTGATAATGAGAATAATTAAACATAAGTCATATACATTTTCAAAGTCAGTCTTGATCTGCAGAATATCTTTCATTGTCTTTGAATGATTCAAAATTATTTTAAATTCAATAAAATGCTCTGCTGGGCGCAGCTTGATACGACCGCAGAGGTCGAACCCTGGACAGTTGGGGCAAGTATGGACACAACATTCAAGCTTGATACAGCACTGAATTTGGATTGTGATTAAATATTTGACACAGCAAAGGTTTCTGACACAGAATGAATGTTGTCTAAGAACATAAAATTTTTTAATTTACCTATTCAAACCATATCATTACTATTTGCTTTTATATATATAAATCAGAAATAACCAATTTAAAATGGAAAATTTTAAAGAAAAAAAAAATCCTCCCCCAAATTTTTTGAACCCCCTTATGATTCATCACCCCCAAACTCAATCCCAGCCTTCCCTTTGTGGTATGGTACCTGCAGTACAATTTCAGAGAGACACAAGTTATTGTCTGGAAACTAGAAAAATGCTTGTTTTTTTACCCCTTTTTGGCCCCAAATTCCCAAACGTTTAGAGCAATTACCCCCAAACTCAAACCCAGCTTTCCCTTTGTGATATGGAACCTTGTAGTACAATTTCATATAGATCTATACACTTACACACAAGTTATTGTCCTGAAACTAGAAAAATGCTTGTTTTTTGCCCCTTTTTTGGCCCCTAATTCCTAAAATTTAGAAGCAATTACCCCCAAATTCAATCCCAGCCTTCCCTTTGTGGTATGGTACCTTGCAGTACAATTTCAGAGAGATCCATACACTTGAACACAAGTTATTGTCTGGAAACTAGAAAAATGCTTGTTTTTGGCCCCTTATTCCTAAACATTTTGAGCAATTACCCCCAAACTCAATTCCAGCTTTTCCTTTGTGATATGGAACCTTGTAGTACAATTTCAGAAAGATCCATACACTTAAACACAAGTTATTGTCATGAAACTAGAAAAATGCTTGTTTTTTGCCCCTTTTTTGCCCCCTAATTCCTAATATTTTGAGACAATTACCCCCAAAATCAATCCCAGCATTCCCTGTGTGATATGGAACCTTGTGGTACAATGTCAGAGAGATCCATATACTAACACACAAGTTGTGTCTGGAAGTTACAAAAATGCTTATTTTTGGCCCCTAATTCCTTAACTGTTGGTACCATAACCCCCAAATCCAATCCCAACCTTCCTTTTGTGGTATTGAACCTTATGGTAAAATTTCATAAAGATCCATTCACTTAAACTAAAGTTAGAGTGCGAAAACCAATGTGTCTTCAGACAACGACGACGCCAACGTAATACCAATATATGACCGCAAAAAAAATGATTTTTAGTTTGTGTTTATATTTCAGCAATGTGCTTTTAAAACTTATAAAAATGGCAATGGTTTAACATCGCTGAATTTACTCTGTGCTTATAATGTTTTCTTATGCTTAATCTATACTGTTTTCTAATGCTCAATTAAATGTATTATGTTAAGTTAAACAGATCTTACAGGTTGATTGGATACTAAATGTCTGATTTTATGCTTATAAGGTATTAGATATACACACTTATAGGTTCACAAAATGTAACAATAGCCTTCCCAGAATCCTCGTCACCAAAGTCTACTCCCTCTACATCAAACTTTGTCCTTGCTTCCAGGAAGTTAATAATGCCATCTTCAGTTGTCTTTGTATTAAAGCCTTTTACTAATGCCTTATTTTGATATCTTTTGGGTGGAATGTGTTTCTTTACTTGCAACTTTGAACCATCTACTGTATGGTTTTTCTGTAATGTCCTATCCACAGCTTTAAAAATTAAGAACAAATTTTCAAAAAATCATGAAAGAAAATTATTACAGCATGCACTTTTCTGTTTAAATTAAGGTACCAGATATGTTTCTTTTCTGTTATGAAACTGATTCAGTGATCTCATGGTAAAATATTCAACTCAATTGTGGGAGGTTGTGCGTTCGAACCTAGCTGGTTTAAACCAAAGACATAAAAAATTGGCATTTGCTGCTTTTCTGCTAAGCATATTAATACAGCATTTAGGAGTAAGACAACGACTAGTCTGTTCGAAGTAAAATTAATGTGTCTGGGTAGGTTGAAATGTCTTCTTGTTAAAAATCAATTCTAGTACTAATCTGGGTTAATTTCATGTTACATAATTATGTTTTCACCCTAAATATGCATCCATCCATCTTCCATCATTTCTGCTATGAGTTTAGACAGTAATATTGTCTAGCAAAAATTCTATTACTTGTAACTATGACCCTGATCTTAGACCTAAAGACAGGGATCCTTATCAAAGAAAGGTTGAAATCCAATATGAAGTATTTTATTAATTAAGCATTTATATATTATTCTCTGCAAAAATTGTGATTTGTTTTGTAACTATGACCTTGAGCTTTGACATATTGACCTGAAAACCAAGGGGATCTTGATCTCATTATGTCTGAAAAGGCTATAAAGTATTTGATTTAGCAACCCAAAACTACTGATAGATGGACAGGAAGGAAAAGAACTGTAAACCCTTGTATAGCTTGCAGTTTATGAAGCGGTCCTCAGAAAGGAGACTCATGCTATGTTATTATGTAAGATTTAGTTTTAAATTCAAACTAATTCAAGTGAATATTTTAACTTCAAATGATTAAATAATACTCAATATCCTGTGTTGCTTTTGTATAATTGTACTTTTGTTAGGTTTTTTTTGTTTTTTTTTTGTCTTTCTCCTTAAAAATCAAAGATTGTTTTCTACTGACCAGCTTGCACATGTGACACATAAACCATGACATAATCAGTTGACTGAATGATTCTGACAATAATACAAACAGGTAAACCTTTATTATGTTTGGTAATTATGGGGTAGAGTCTGTTAAAAAAAAAAAGAATGACAAAACAGACCAAAAAATGTAGGAATGATATGGGTCGCTTCACCAAATTTCTTAGCAGGCTCCACAAAAAGGAATAGTTATTCCTTGTATTGATGATCATTATTAATATACTTAATTAAGCATTATAAAACATGATTAGGATTTTCCCAGTAGTTAGATCTCGTCAAGTTGATAATTTTTTGCATTTTTAACTTAGCTAATATAGTTTTCAAGATAACAATAAAAGACTGAAAAAATTGGAAAAAATGGAAATTGCATTTGTTAGATAGCTCCTATAGTTTTAAAGCTTTGTAAAAACTAACATTTCAGGGATAACAACTCCAAAACAGATTCATAAATTTTTCTTTAATATTCAGGGTAAATAGAGTTTATTGTGCAGACCAATTTTTACTTACCCTTTTAATTTTTCTCTGGTTGCTACAATTTTAAAAATATTAGAGAACAACTGCAGGTTGACCCCTATGTTCTACTTTAGCCACAATGGCCATGTTGGTTATTCAACTTCAGACTTCCTATAGATGAAGCAGACAAACTTTTATTTCAATCCTTTGATCAGTTTCACAGGTAAAAATTTTTAAAGAACCGACAACAGCAGACATGTGGTCAGAATAACAGATGCAAAGTGATTGCAATAGCTAATAACTAATTATGAAATTAATTTCAGCATTGCTAAAATCAAAACATAAAAAAAGACAAACAATAATAGCCCACATAACATGTCATGTTCTTAGGACAGAAAACAAAACAATAAATTACCTTCTTCGTCCTCAAATGTAACTAAATACATGTCTTTATCCTCTATATACTCAATGTTTTCTACATCTGCATTAGCACCTTTCTTTGATTCAAAGTAATACATGATGGTATCTTGTGTTGTACGATCTGTCATACCTCTGACTTCTATTGTACAGGTAGGGGCTGGTTCACTGGTACTTAGGTTACTCTCATATTCTTCAGTTGTATCCATAGGCTCTTCTACATTAACATTATGGGCCTCCACTTCTATAACTTTATTATTAAACATTATAGGCATTTTCTGTAAAACGATGTCAACAGCTGAAAAAAGAATGTATAAAAGTTTTCTGTGTTTGTAAGATTTAAATAACATGATTTTTTTTATCCTGATCTAAAACAAGGACTTATTAATATTTGTCAATGCGATTCCATTTTAAGGGCATACAAAACAGATCCTAATTTGAATTTCCACTAAAAATTTTGACACAAATTAATGTTGATTTGCCTATACAGGGGTTAAAAAATTTTGTTACAGGTAACAAGCCCAGGACTTATTTGCAGCAGGATTTTACTAGCCCTGTTGGAAGAACTGCTAGCCCATCAAAACTGACCTGCTAGCCCGAGAATGCCTTACAAATCAGAGTTTGCTGCATAATAACAAAGTGGGTGTCCCTTGTTTTGAAGGCGGCATTATACACTGTATTTAATATTTTTAGTTGATCTGCTTTTTATTCTGTTGGTAAACAAACAGTGGTGCTTATCCTAACTTAGTTGTTCCCACATACAAACCAGACTTTTTATTGGCGTGCTCGGGAAAATAACAGCAATATTCTGTGTTTTTTTTTTCATCAGCAACACGGCCGACCTTGCCCAGGGGAATCTTTCTTTCCTGGACACTATTCCGATTTTCCAGGCCATATTTGGCATTTTTCATTTTCATCTACAGTTTTTCGTTTTAAAACTGACGAAGTTCCTGGGGTGCCCGTAATAAAATATTTAGAAATATTTGGTTGAATGGATTGGTTTCGTGCTCAACAGCTGTCCGACAAGACAGGTCAATACCGATCAATACAGTACCGTTAATTGCAAATCTCGGCATAAGAAATGTACAATACACCCCCCCCCCCCCCCCCCCCTTTGTACTGTTGTACTGAGAAATCAATATTTAAAGTAAGTACAAGAATTGCGATACCGGGCCACCCAGAGTTATTTGTTCTATTTTTAAAATATGTACAACAGGACCTGTACAAACCAGTTCAATTTCTTGGAATCCCGGATGACGTAATTGAATCTGATTGGCTAAGATAGAATAGTGATAAAGGGATTTTCCACTTTCTATTTTGGAAATGCCAAGAATTTTTTGTTACTAGTCCGTCAGGCATATTGCATTAAAAATTTTGATTGCCCAAGGCGTAATGCTTAAGTCCCAGGCGTCGGGCTAGTGGATTTTTTAACCCCTGCTATAGAAATATGCAAAGAAAATGTATCTAATCATGACTTACTTTTTGATATATCAGTTTGATGTTTATGAATGTCTGAGGTAAAAATGTCAATTTTCATTTTTCAATACTTTTCTGATAAAATAACACAGTTTAATTTCAAATTGAATGATAATTCCACCATTTCTTTTGCAGAATGTTCCTTATTTTCCAGATGTTAAAGTTACCAATAGGGAGGTATATTTGCGTGCGATAAACTAATTGTGTGAAATCTTTAATGACTGGTAACACAAAGCAGTACACATAAATGTGACATTACATTCTATAAAATTGAGGCGATTGTCCTCCTTCTTATGGCAATATCTCTGATTGACACTTGTTGAAATCTTATCTTATATCAAAAACAATCTGGTATTAGTACTGATCAAAGAAACTGTGAGGCATACTGTCAATGAGACAGAAACCCAACTTCACTAATAATCTAGTGGTCAACATGCAGAATTCATCAATTAAAAACAATTGTATCTATACAATGTAAAGCTCTAAATCAGCCCTAGACTAAAAATGTTGCATATTAATTCAACAGAGACTCATCATTATAGATCTGGCATCATTACCACATTTAATCTAATATGGACAGATGACAAAGTCTAAATGGCTGTATACAAAAAAATTGCCCAATTCTTTGAAAATCCAACATTCCTTTCCTTAAAAACATACAATAATTGAGCCTTAAGTTAATTAAGTTAAGTACCTTCAGCTTCTTCGAATGTAATAATAGCAGATGCAGTGTCTTCATCATATTCCACATCCTCTACGTCTCCACCACCAAACTTCCTCGTGTTCTCAAAAAAGTATGTTAAGCTATCCTGTGTAGTTGTTGGAGGCAACTTCGTCACTTTCAACATGTTGGTGGTAGTTTTCTTTGGTTCTTATAAAATAGCAAACATAAATTGTGAAAAATGTATAAAATATTGAAAATGTACAATACATTTAAAAGAGAGGGAAAATATACCAAAGGGACATTCAAACTCATCGGTCAAAAATAAATTGACACTGTCATGGCAAAAAAAGATAAATTGACCAAAAGACAAACAACAGTACACAAAACATTAAAGACTGAGCAACAACCCCCCCCCCCCCCCTCCCCACAATGATAGGGGTGAATTCAGGTGCTAATGAAGGGTGAGCAGATCCTCCTCCACATGTGGCACACTTTATACTGCTCATGTAAGTACAGACATAGTGGTAAGTCTAATTTAGATCACATTTTAGGAAAAGAGAATGGGATTCTTGATACGACAATTGGAACATATCCGTCATCACAGTGTAAAACAGATATTTCATAATGGTCAAACACGTCATGATGGCATCCGTTAAATTTAAGAAGGGATGATTTCAACTTCACCACTTGGAATTCTTGGTTTAATAGGCTTAATAATAAATGTACCAAACTTTGTTAACATCTTCATCTTGTTAATTTTTGTTTTCTTCAAAATAAGTAACCACTTCAATGTGCAAATCTATGCATATGTACTTGTTTCCATCCATTCAAAGATATAATTAATTGATTGCCTGTTTTCCAAGGTTTATGCATATAGTAATGATTCACTTGTCCTTAGTCGTGTGTGAACAAGATGTTTACCCTCTATATTTGTAATTTCCTATTATTTCTTAAGATTTACTGTGGATTTATTCATTTTCATGGATACCAATTTATTGATCATTGAGGACCTCCTGAAATATATTTAGGACCTTCATTATTCAATTTCAGGACCTCCATAATTCTAAATTTGAGGACATTCTGAAATATTTCAGGACCTCCATAGTTTGATTTCAGGATATCCATAATTTTTATGGAGGTCCACATTCTTTTTAGGGCCTACACAATTTGATTTCAGGACTTCTACAAGTGATTTCAGGATATCCTGAGATCAATTCATTGATATCTTGAAATAGAATTGTGGAGGTCCTAAAATCAAAATGTGGAGGTCTTGAAATTTTTCAGGAGTCCTCAATAATTTATATATATCCTCAATTCAAATTATGGAGGTCCTGAAATATTTCCTTAAATACAACATAGTATTTTTACCATCATTTTTTTCTTCAAGTATGTCCTCTTCCTTTTCTTCTTTCACTTCTTCTTCCTCATCTTCTTTCTCTTCTTCTTCTTCATCTGATTGAATAGGAGTTTCTGTACTTGACTTTTCAGCAGATGCAGATGGATTATCGCTTCTTTCTCCTTCTATTATAGAAATTTCTGGTTTATCGTTAGGATTCTGCTTGGCACCAGGCTGCTGTTCTTGTTGGGGAATAAAACCATGAGGATAGCCATAGCCTGGATAAGCACCATACTGACCATACGGATAATATCCTCCATATGGCGGCCATCCCCACTGCCCTGGATATCCAGGACCATGTGGACCTTTCTCTTGGTCTTGAGATGGATCTCCTTTTTCAGAATGTCCAGGCTGATATGGTGGCCATCCCATTCCTGGAGGGTAAAACTGTTGTTGATAAGGATTTTGAGGATTTGGTCCATGTTGTGTCATGAATCGAGGATCAAAAGGTGGACCAAATGGTGGAAATCCATGGGGACCACCAGGTTGTTGTAGAGGAGATGCTGATTGATTGGTCCCTGGTCCTTGACTTGGATATTCAGAATATGGTGGGGGCTGTGCGTGGTCTGTGGAAGGGTTATTCCCCTTGTAAGCTGATGCTGAAGGATCATAGACATCTGGAGTCTGAAGGGTAACAAAATCATCACTTTACATTACTGACTTTATGCTGGCAATAAATGTTTTGTATTTACAATTCAAATATAAAATATGATTAGCAGTCTATCCATATTTGGGTTAAGTTACTCTGGTTTAACTAATGTAAATTCAGAAATTATTGCGTGCATTTAATATTGCGATTTTGTGATTTTAGACTAGAATGCGATTTTAATTTTTGCGATATTGAGAAAAATCCTGTTTAATTCATATAAAAAAATTCAAAATGCGAGTTTAAATTATTGCGATTATAACCCATTTTTCGCAATAATATAAACGTCGCAATAATTTCTGAATTTACAGTATATGGGTATCTTTTCTTTACTTCCCAATCTTAAACTCACTATCAGTTCATTCAAGAATTTAAAGGTAAAACTTAACCAAAGTTTATCTTTACATAAATTTTGTGCAAGATCACTGACCTATGAAGTTATGAACTATGGGTCACATAACCTTCTACTTATTTGCATAAGTTTGAGTTTTTATTATTCAAGCAGTTCTGGAGGAATAACTATGAACACCAAATGATGTACAATACTTTGTTTTAAATATCTAAGTTAATCTCATAAAAAGGGTAATATGATTAGGAAATGTGTATAATATTTTCTTAATATACTGCAACTCTTACAACTCTTCAAAATGAATACTTTTGGTAAACCATCAATTTTGAATCAGATGACTTAAAAGTAAATAAATCTCTATGAAACCACATTAATATCAAGGTCACACTGTCATAGCTAAATCACAAATTATAGGTGAGATATTTTTGGTAGTTTCACACAGTGTCAGTGAGCATCAGGTGAGCAGACTCTGTATTTTTATTACAGTAACTACAAATAACAAATTTTTAGAATATCCAACCTGTAACCATTCATCTGGTATATCACATGGTAATTCACATTCACTTATGTTTAGATTTCCTTCTGATGTTTCTAGTGAGCCTATTACTGTGATATATCCTTGTGCAACTGTAAAGAAAGGAAGAAAAAAACAATAGCATTATTAATTGAACAATTAAATGTCCAGTTGTCAGGTAAGTTTCCCTTTCAAAATAAGTACTGTAACCATTTGCATTATTGTGCGCACATAAAACTGGTTCAGTCCCAACACATTTTGTGCTTGTTCCAAGTCAGGTTACCATGTCTTTTGTCATTGGTTCGCATGTCTGTTTGTCTGGTTTTTTTTAGTTTTTTTTTTCTTTTCTAGAATTCACAGAGGTTGGTGTTTGATTTCAGATTGATGCACTTTGCAGATTTATTGGAATTCCTGTTATTGCTTTTTATAATGTATCATATACTTCTGCATTGTTCAACATTTTTTTTTTTTTTTGCCAATGTACAAAAATGATGTAAGCAGACATGCACATTTAGGGGGAAAAGGGAGGGCAGGGTTGACAGATTTTGATGAATCATGTTAAATTCTTTTCAAAAATTACCTTAATGGAGAAGTATTTGAAACCTCTGACAAATCAAGATAAAGATATTTTCAGTGGCGGATCCAGAAATTTTCATAAGTGGGGGCCCACTGACTGCCTAAGAGGGGGCCGGCTCTGGTCATGCTTCAGTGATTCCCTATATAATCAGAGACATATATATACACATGTGTATATGTGTCTCTGATATAATCAACCAAATTTTTCCCAGAAAAGGGGTGCCCCAGGCCCCCTGGAACCCCCCCCCCCCCCCTCTTAATCCGCCTTTGATTTTGATGAATCACTTTAAAATGACGCCTGATGGTAAGGGGATTGACCTACCCTCCTATAGCTCTTTTTTTTAAATCCTGGCAGGCTGTATCTTAATTGATCGGTTTTTACAAGATAAGATTGAATGCTTAGAAATATCATTTATACATTCATTGTTTAAAAAAATTACTTTCATTTCCACATGTATTGCAAAGCTAAACCGAAAGTAGATCATATACATGATATAGGTTTCAGTTTAAAAATTAATAAATATGCAATTCAAAATAATTCATTATAAACAGGTAAATTAAAATGTTAACCGTCTATTGAATCGAACTGAATAATCCATTCTTGATCACTGGCTTCAAAGCCGGCTGTCCTTGTAGCTAACGTTCCCCGCCAAGACTCTGGGAAATTTTGTCTTATGGCATTGAAATTTGTCTCTGTATTAAAACCTTTTAACAAAATACACTTTTCACAGATTTTCTTTCGTAAATCAGCATTGCTCATATTAACTCTCTATATAGATTCCCCTTTACTCTGTCACTCCCTTTCAACTTCAACTTCAACTTCTTTACTTGTCAAAATCCATACTTGACTAATAACGATTGCGTATTTTACTTTTACTTTCGTTTTCATTCGATTTGTATATTACAACTATAAGCTTTACAAAAAGCTTGTCTGATTTAAGCATTTTAAAAATAATATTCTTTTATATCTAAAGAGGGTAACCTAATAAGTGTTCCATAATCTTACTTGGGACTCTCATAAAGTAAGCACAAAATTATATGAAATAGTACATACAAATAAAACATAAATAAAAACAAACAACTTGAGCACGGTCCCATGCAGGACAGGTTTAAAGAGAGAGTTTGGAACCATCAAACTAGTTGAACCCCTCCACATTATGTATGTGCCTGTCCCAAATCAGAGGCCTGTAATCGTTTGTTGCTGTATATCATATTTGTTTTTCGTTATTATGTTGTACACAAAGGCCGTTAGTTTTCTTGTTTCATTTGTTTTACAAAAGCTATTTGTCATTTTGGGGCCTTTTATAACTGACTAATTTGTAAATTGGAAAATTATGGCCTTAGTCTATCTGCTCTTGAATTGCTCAAAAGTTGTCTGACGACAAGAAAACATTGTGTAAAAATAGGTCAGAGAATCAGTCAAATATATTCATAAATGACATCTTTCTTTTTGTTAAACACTGTGATTTATATAACTATGTTGATGATAACACCCTCTCTAAATCAGGTACTACTTTGGAATCAGTAATTAAACCCTTAGAGGAAGATAGTAACTCCCTAATATCATGGTTCTCTTTCAACAAAATGCAGGTAAACCCAGAAAAATTCCAGGCAATAGGTAAAAAAACACACACTCAAAATATGGTCTTCAACCTAAATGGATTCAACATAAAATGTGACGACGAGGTGAAACTTCTTGGTGTAACAATAGACTTTAAACTGGATTTCAACACTCACATTTCAAATATATGTAAAAAAAGCTGCACGACAACTAAACGTACTAAAAAGAATCGGCACTCATCTCACCAGACTTTCTAAACTTACAATATACCACTCATTTATCTTGTCAAACCTCAGCCATTGTCCTCTTACATGGCACTTCTGCAGTGAACAAAACACAAAGAAAATAGAAAAAATACAAGAAAGAGCACTCAGATTCATTTATGACGACAACAAGAATTCTTATGATACACTCCTTGAACAGTCTAAGCTACCAGCACTAAAAATCAGAAGAATGAGAACCATGGCATTAGAGACTTATAAAATAATTAATAAATCAAGTCCAGAATTCCTACATAATTTATAATAAACATTAAAGAAAATTCATATAACTTCAGGTACAAAGGTATAGCGCATATACCACGGCCAAAAACAAGAAGGTATGGTAAGAAAAGCTTTAGTTATGAGGCTGCAAGACTATGGAACTCCTTGCCAAATGAGGCAAGGAGCTTATCAACTTTTGGCCAGTTCAAAATTTTTATCTCCACCTGGTGTTTTTTCTGAAAATTGTACCTGCAGTTCTTGTAAATAATGTAACTCCTTGCTGCCCCATGACTTGACCTTGAAGCCTGCTGTTTGTTTTATGTTTTTATTTTTTGCAATTATTTTTATTTATTATTTCTTTGTTTTGCTTATGCATTACCTGTGCTGTAGCTGCTTGCAGTCTTTTGCTTGTGCTTTCAATATATATGATAGTGTTTAATTTTGCATGTGCTACTTGGATATAAATACTGTGTGCTACTATGTGCTGATATTTGACATTTGTTTTAATATATAATATCTTGCTTAGCTTTTATTTTGCATGTGCTATCTATGTATTAATACATGTATGTGCTGTCTGTCTGTATGTTTGTGTTGTATATGTATCTGATGTTATTACATGTATGTTTTGTTTATTAATATCAGTCGGTTAAAGAGCTATAAAGAGCTCATGTTCCTTGTTATTATGTATATATTCAACCCGACTTTAAATAAAGACTACTTTACTTTACTTTACTAATATGCGGTGTGGGTTTTCTCTGATTGTCGAAGACTGTACGGTAACCTACAACGGTTAACTTCTACTGTTCTATGTCATTTTGGTCTATGGCGGAGATTGACAACTGGAGTTTTATTAATCTCTGGAGGCATTCAATTTCTTCATTACCAATTACCCCCATACTGTGCAATAGTAGTCATATATTGGTAAAATATATGAATTATAAAATAGAATTTTACATTTGTGGTCTAATTATTTTTTATTTTAGCAAAAATAAACAACCTTGGTCTAATGGTTTTAGATAATTTATTTATTTTCTCTTTCCGAGTAAGGTGGTGGTCTATTTTAATTCCTAAATAATACCTTTTGTGTACTTCACCGTTTGATTAACTTTATCATCTATACTAACGTTCATTTGCTTATCCAACATATTTTTCTTATCTCTGCATGGGGAGTACCTTTTAGCATACTTGTGGATTTTGCTGGATTTATTAACATGTGGTTCTTATTACACCAAATATTTACTAAACAGGGATCTTTACTTAGATCATGGAAGTAATATTACTTCCATGCTTAATTTATTTTCGATATAGTGGATACTATAACTAGCCGACAGTGTAATGTTATGTAATCAGCATACTACATGCCAATCTTATTAAATATATGACATATCTTATAAGGTATTTAACATATTTTATATAAATAAGTCTGTAACTTGAAAGGATGTCAATTAGAGAAGCCAATACTTTTGGGACATTGATTTGAAACAACAAATAGCCGTCTATTAGCTGGGGTCACACATTCACGATTTAAGTCTGATCAAGATCACATGAATCGTGGATGGAAATTCAAACTTAACTAAAATTTGTAAAAAAAATTATTTAATCACGACAACAATCAGATATTGTTCAGGAAGCGTCGATATTCAACCGTTTCCAAACGAATTTGTCCCGATAATCCCGTTCTCAATCCGATTCTAATCCGATTTGTATCTTTCTCGTGGTAAAAAACGACCGAATCTGTCCCGACAGCGTCCCGATTCTACCGAATGTAATCCGACAGAGATCAGACAGTGAACCGACGCTGACGGAAGATATCCGTTAGAAAACTGTCGGCATATTCAGGATGATTAGGTATTGTCGGAACGTAATCCTATCACGGTCCGCTGTACCGCATTGCAAACGGCTTTGCCTGAACTCAGTCGTAATTGTGTTCTGTAATTGTCGGGACTCTGACGTGGGTATCATTGCCGAATCTCGTATTAATAACGGGACTGTACCGGAACGGTTTCGGCAAAGACGGTTCGCATTCGACAAGATCTGGATACAATCTGGACTCAATCAGTAGATAAACAGCAATCACAAATTTCTTCAGATCATTCCCGTTCCACAGAACACCGTCCAGAAAACACAGAAAACTGTTAGGATTTTTATCCGATACAGCAGAATCTGTCACGACATAGTCACGATTGTAATCCGACTAGACAAAATCGGCTGAGTTTCCCCGAATGTTACGGGACGCACCTAACTGTCGGGGGTGCTTGGCCGACCTCTCCGGACCATTCCCGATCCGTAGAAATCTTTTACGAACTTATACGACTGCGTTCAGACAATGATAGGACATTACAGATAATTGAGGATAGTTATCCGACTTTTTCACTTTTTGTGTCTTATCGCTGTCTGGTCTCAAACGGGAGCCATAATCGGCAATGTGTCGGAACGCCGCATTAGAGGGGTGTTTAATTGGTCGTAGTCTAGATTTGGAATCTTATTTTATTATGAAGTCAGATTTGGACATCGACTTGAGGAATGGAGGTCGATTAGAGACCGGACGTCAATCTGAGTCTTATATAGATATAAGAAGATATGTATACATATATTATTGATTCAGCTGTGATGGTAAATAGACACTGATACGTCTAATAACATTTTATAGTTTTGAATGTTTGTTCACCAGTTTACCATGTTTACTATGATGAGGTGGTGGTATGTTCTTATTTCAAACAGAGGGGCACTTAGCCTATATCAATTTGTGCATACAGCGATTGTTACCAATGCTAGGTACCGAATGATTTTACCACGCTTTGTAAAAGTTTTAATGGGTGTATATACTGAAAATATGAAAAAAAAAATCATGTCTTTTTCAGGACTTCTGATCCATCCATGTAGTATGGCATGTTTATGAGATGTGTTTGTGGAGGATGGATGTTCATGAAGGACTTGTTTATTGTAAATTCAGATATTATTGCGTGCATTTATTATTGCGATTTTTCAAGAATGGACAAAAATGCGAGATTAATTATTGCGATATCATAAAAATCTGCATACAGATATATGTTGCAGACATCAGAATGCGAGTTCTTATTTTTGCGATAGTCACCCAGTCGCATTATTCGCATTAATAAAAACATCGCAATAATTTCTGAATTTACAGAATATAAAAAAAGCTAAACTTTAGAAGGTATCTTATAAAGTATATGATCCGAGAACACAGTTATCGTCCTTTGATTTTCCATTTCTACAAATATAGTTCCTAGTGTGGACAGTGTATAATTTGTAAATTTTGTTCATACTTTCCCAATGTATTTCTTTATATTTTATGCATGAAATATGAAGTAAGGGAATGAAATTACATGTTAAAAGATTTGGGTGCTGAGTCTTTATGTTAATTGATGATTTTGAATCTTTAACTTGCAGTGAGATGAGAGTATTTTTGCTCCGTGTTGAAGGCCCAACTATGACTTTGAGATGAAGAACAGCAATAAAAGCGCTGTTCCTTTGATTTTTATGTGGTTTTTTTTAACTGTGCATGTATTAATTAATTTTGTGCCATGAATGGATATCCCATAGCCTTTGTTTTTCTATTATATAAGTTATCATATCTATTTTCATGATGAGATATCTTATATATTGTATTGTTAGGATAATTAGTAAAACGGCTTGCCATAAAAAAATACGTTTTTGTTAGTTGCGTTTCTGCTTTGTTTCGATTTGATGAGCTAATCCCTTCACATTCTATATAATTATGTACCTGTCCCAAGGCAAAAGCCTGTACAGTAGTTCATGTCTGTCATATATGTTTTTCGTTATTTGTTTTGTTGTAAATTGGGTCGT